AGCAGAATCCAGGTCTCTGTTCTAGCCCAAGCGCAGAGGAAGCCTGGTCAAAATACCTTTAGTGGCCTTCCAAGCAGGAGCTGAGCAGCCAGGTGGAGTTTGGGTACAGAGAGCTTTGTTATGTTTTGCTTTTTAACCTTTGGTTTGATAGAGTCATTGGGATCTACTTCAGCATTGTCCCAAGCTGGAAAGGAAACCAGTCACGCTGTGGGTTAGCACAGTGCTGTTTGGGTTTTCAGTGAACTTGCAAGGGTCGAGGCTGTGATATATAGTGATGATACGTGGGCCTGTCTGCCAAGGAGGCAGGGCTGCAGAAGGGCTGCCTCTCTGTTAAAACCTGGGAAGCCCAGTTAGAAGCAAGGAGGCACCTAACGCCGCCTGTCCCCTGGCTCCTCCCTTCTCCTAGTGTGCATATGAAGATAGAGGAGAAGATCTCGCTTACCTGTGGCCGGGATGGGGGCCTTCAAAACATGGAGCTGCATGGCATGATCATGCTGCGGATCCTGGATGAAAAGTTTGCTCGGATTTGCATCCACGTCGAGAATGAGGACAAAAAAGGTGTGCAGCTCCAGGTAAGGTTGGCTGGAGGGTAGGGTCAGGGATATTTTGAGCTGTGCACATCTGTTCTGGGGTGGAGCGGCTTGGCTGACTGGTGGCTCCCTTTTCAGACTCACCCCAATGTTGACAAGAAGCTTTTTATGTCAGAGTCGGTGATTGGCTTGAAAAACCCAGACAAGTCATTCCCCATCAATAGTGACGTGGGAGTGCTGAAATGGCGGCTGCAAACGACGGAGGAGTCTCTCATTCCGCTGACCAGTGAGTTGCTTCAGTTCAGGGAGTAGCAGGCATCCTAGAGGCGGAAGCCAGCCAGCCTGTGTCCTGCTCCTGTCCCTGCTGAGAACATTCGGGTCTCCTTGCTTGAACCATTTCAGCTGGCTTTCTTTTGGGTCCTAGTTAATTGCTGGCCCTCAGAAAGCGGCAGCAGCTGTGATGTCAACATTGAGTACGAGCTGCAAGAGGACAGCCTGGAGTTAAATGACGTGGTAATCGCCATCCCTTTGCCGTGAGTAATTGCCCTGCCCCCCTCCCGGGAACTTCCCACGTGCCAGTAGTGCCAGTTCAGGGACGGTGAGGAGTTCGGCGCTAACTCGTTGTTGATTGTCTAGGTCTGGTGTGGGGGCTCCCATAATTGGAGAGATTAATGGTGAATACCGCCACGATAGCCGAAAAAACCTCCTCGAGTGGTGCTTGCCAGTGGTGGATGCCAAAAACAAAAGCGGCAGCCTGGAGTTCAGCATCGCAGGGCGACCAAATGACTTCTTCCCTGTGCATGTTTCCTTTGTCTCCAAGAAGAACTTTTGCAACATTCAGGTGTGTCTCGCGGGGGCCTGAATGACAACTGCTGCCCCCTCCTTTGCTCTGTTTGGAGGGCAGAAGGGAGCTGGCAGACCAGCTGCTTCTCCACTGAATGGCGTCCTGGGCCTGTCAGTGTGGAGGGCTGTTGTTTCAGGCTTCCCCTGTCATTCACCAAGGCCAAAACCTCCCCCTCTTTCTTGGTGCCTGGGCAAGCCGAGGGCAGGGACGGGGGCAGCAGCTCGTCTTGCCTCATGCAGCTGCCTCAAAGCGCCTCTCCCAACGGACTGCTTGGCTTTCTTTCCGCAGGTCTCCAAAGTGACCCAGGTGGATGGGAACAGCCCTGTGAGATTCTCCACGGAGACCACCTTCCTCGTGGACAAGTATGAGATCCTGTAACCCTTGCTGAAGGGAAGCAGCAAGCAAGGCCGAGAGAGAGAGAGAGAGAGAGAGAGAGAGAGAGTAGGAGAGAGAGCTGCAGCCTTCGCCATCAGGGAACGTTGATGTTTGTTTACCCACTGACCTTATTTCCCAGGTCCCAACTGCTCAGGCAGGGAGAGACTGCCTGCTTCTCTGGCACAGGTGCCTCACCTTGGCAGGTGCCTTGTCACCCCACCCCATCCTTTTCTTCCACAGAGGGTCCCACCCCAGAATGCCCTGCTGGTTCCGGATGCAGCGGCAAGGAGGTTGCTACCATGGGAGAGGAATAGGGCCAGCAGCCTCCCTTTTCTGGTGCTGTGCAGACCTTGCCAAGCCACCTGATTCTGAGCGGAGGCGGGGGAAGCTTTCACGCTTGTGCAGCTCTCGCCTGAAAACTCCTCCCTCCTCTTCACTGCTTTCTTGAACCTGGAAGAATAAGGGGCAGCTTTTTCTGGCTGCTTCTCTGACTTTGAGACCCTGGAAATCTCGATTTGGGGGCAGGGAAGCCTTGGGCACCTTGAATGCATTGGGCTGTGCTCGCCTGCTAAAGAAGACCAACCCAGCCTCTTCCACACCCCCTCTGTCCAGAGAGCCCTGGGTGGGGGCCACGAATCATACCAATTGGAGATTTGTCTGCCTGATTCTTAATATGGGGTTCAGTTTAATTCTATTGTCAAATGCAATTTACTCTTAAACGATATTGAAGGTGACACTGAAATAAGGTTTTGGAATCCTACAAAATAATTACTTACAAGCCCGTATGACACATTCCAGTGTATTCGAAGATCGTTGCTCCTGAATCCAATAAAGAATATTCTAAAAGGAAAAAAAAGTGCTCTTTAGCTCTGAGCAAACAAGGACTGAGCTTGTGTCCTGAAGCAGTGCCGGATCCCAGGAATAGTTGCTGCATGAGAACCCCTGTGCGTTAGAGGGGTGAGCTAGTCTGAGGCAATGAATGAATGAAGGAGCGTCCTGTTCTGTCTCCTGCTCCACGTGAACTGGGACCCACAAAAACCAAGAAGGCATGGCAGGCACCTGTCGCCTCTCCAGCCCTGGTGACGGAGGAAGCAGCCGACAGGGTGGGCACTCAGAGTAGGCTCCAGGCCAGGGCCAAAGGAGCACCTTGGTCTGGAGCACGCATTTAAGTCCTGTAAGAGGTTTTGAGGCTAATCCATGATGGAACTTTGCTTCTGTGTTCAGGAGCCTCAGACTAAAATGGGGTATGTCAAGATCCTGGAAAACGTGTGTCTTTGGTGAGGTGGCCAGTTGCAAGGTCAGGGTTGAAACGAGGGATCCTTGGTGCGGTCTGAGCTTGCGTGTTTTCATGCAGACACTTCATTACCACCAGTGTTGATGCCCATGGCTGACTTGGAGGCCTTGGGCCTTCGGTTCTCATGGTTTAAATCTATTTGTCCAGTCTGTCCTGGCAAGTTGGCATTGCACCTTGTCTTGCAGAGGAGCAAGTTGGAATCTTGGCCCTCAGGAGCCCTCGGGGAAGGTGATCAAATGCCAGGCCAGATTGTGCGCTAGGTCTCCCTGCACCCAACCTGTGCCATTTCCCCCGGAGCTGGTGGTCTGCGTACAGTGAAATGTTTTTTTGTGACCTCAGCTGTTTATGCTGCAAACAGAATGTTCTTCATTGGGGGGGGGGGGGGGACTGCTCCCCCTCCCCTTTATCTAGCATCTATCATTCATCCTGTCTTGAGCAAGCTTGCCTTCAGAAGTTGTGGGTGCTTCATCACTGGAGATTTTAAAGAAAAGACTGGGTAGCCACCTATCTGAAATGGTAGAGGGTCTCCAGCATGGGGGGGGGGGGGGCTGGACTAGAAGACCTCCGAGGTCCCTCCCAGCTCTATTCTGATTGAAGTTGGGTTTCAAAATGCATGGGCTCTCCTGTGTCCTCCCACAGGTCAGTCACTAGCTGACAAACTCCTGCAAGGGGCCAGGGACCTTCCTGCCACGTGTCCACGTCCGGCTCCCTTGAGCTGGGCTCTCACCCAGATCCACCTTTCCTGCAGCAGCACTTGCAAACCCTCCTCTGGCCGCTGTGGCTTCACAGCAGGCAGCATCATGAGGTTGATGGTTTCCAGATGTCGTGATGCAATCCTTGCCGAAATAGCTCCAACTCTGGAAACAAGGTGTGCCAGACTCCTCTCTTCCCCTGCTCCAGCCAGAGTGCCCGCTGACTTACTCGCTGCCTATCCATTTGTAAGGGTTCTAATGTCAAGATTTTAAAATATTATTACTCATTTTCTGAATAGATTTTAAGCCAGACACTGTAAATAGGACATCCCACGCCATAACAATTGAGCTAGCTAGTACTGTCCCCATTCTTTTTGTTTTGGGGTTTTTTTAAGCAGACGGGGTGAAGCAGGGCCGCCAAGTTCCACTATGTTCCCTGACCTCCGTTATTAAGGGCCAAAACGGTACGGCCTTCTCTGCCGCAAGGCAGGAGCAATCACAGCAATCGGGAAGGATGAAATTCAGGCGCTGCAAAAGGTGTATCACCTTAACTGATGAAAAAAAAGGGCTTGGTCAGGCGTCCTAAATTTGCTACGGTAAAATCGGTCCCCCGGCAGTCGGGTCTTCGAGCTCGTGGGCATTGCCCGGAGCGCGTTTGGTTGGTTGGAGTCCTGGGTGTGTGATGGCTTCGTTGACGGGAAGCGCCCAGAAGGGCAGCAGAGGCTCGGCACAAAAACGGCCTTAAACATTTAAAAGGCCTCACTGAGAGCAAGTTGTTATCCAACCCGCCCCGCCCCGCGGACCGTTAAAGCCTGGTGGTCGCGCCCCCCATCCTCACCGGCGCGGAGCTTTCGAGCGCGGGGGGGGGGGGGGGGGCTTCGCTCTTTGGGGCGCGAATGGCCGCCCTGCAGGGGCTGCTGAGCTTGCCGCTTCTTCGGGCGAACTGCGGCCGAGGCCAACAGCGCCCGGCTGGCTGGCGCAGTCCCCGCGGGGCCCTCGCTACGCCCAGCCAAGCGGAGCCGGGCGCGCGGGGCCTTCCCCGGCCCGGCCTTTTTTTCTTCGGCGCCGGCTGTTCCGCTCGGGCTCCGGCCGGAGGGGGGGGCGGGAAGGCGCGCCCACCCCAGCTGCCCGCGGGCCTGGTGGAGCGCGCGCACGCGCAAAGGGGCAGCAAACCGGGAGGGCGGGGGTCTCGCCTGGCGCTCCTCCTTCCTCGGCCGGCGGCCCTTCAGCCCAGAAGGAGCAACGCGGACGGGCGGCGGCGGCGGCGTCACCTCCGGAGACGGCGGGCGTCGAAGGGGCAAGCCTGCTTGACAGGTGCGGGCGGCACGGGCGGCCGGTCGTCGTGACGCGCAGGTAATGCAAGAGGCGCCTCTCCGCTGCCCGGACCACCTTTCGTAACTTCGGACCGGCCGGCCGGAGGCCTTTCCCCCGGGGAGACCTGGCCGGGACTGGCACTCTCGGGCCGGGCAAGCAGGAGATGGAAAGAGCGGCCGGCCTCTCTCTCCGCTTGAGCCTCCGGCTGAGCGGAGTTGCTGGACGGCTGACGGAGGCATCGACGGGCCGGCAACCCCCCCCCCCTCCCCCAGTTCCCCGCCTGCCTGGACGTGGCGCATTCCGCACATTCCTGGCGCCACCGGCGCTGCGGACGGAGGGAGAGCAACGCGGCGCGCAAAAGCCGCCCAGACCGTCCCCGCCTGCCGTTCCTTGGATGCCCCTGCGCTCGGCCCCAGCGGCTGCGCTTTCAGGCGGGAGGAGCCCCCCTGCTCCCTCGCAGAGCTGCTGGTCTCGGAGGGGCGGCAGTTGCGCGCGGCCGGCTCCAGCCTTCCGTTGCGGTTGCTTGGGAGAAAACGGCTGTCCGCTCTCCGGGTTAGGACCGGCGGGGATTCCTGGCGCTCCGGGCTCTGAGCAGGGTGGGGGCTCTGCGCCTCAAAGGAGACCACGGAGTGACCCCAGGACACGTTTTCACCTTGCAGGGTTGTTGTGAGGCAAGTGTGGGAAGGGCAGCGGTGGTATTGGCCAGCCTGCTTGAATGTTGGGGGTGGGGGCTAATCTGACCTGGGGATCTTGTGGCAGCATCTGACTGAGAGGCTTTGGCCTTGGGGCAGCCACCTCCTCCCCGTCCCTCTCCTTCTCTGATGGGCCTGAGGAGAAGTCCTTCCGGAAGAGTGCCGGGGCCTGGGAGAAGCTAGTCCACTCCTGATGCAGGCCAGGCTCCCCCTGCACCCACCATTGCAGCCTCTTGCCACGGGCCACCCTCTCCTGCAGTGGAGCTGTGGCTGACCAGCACAGAATGCCCCAGGCAAAGATGCGGGTTTGAGCTGGGGAAGCAAGCGGGCCACTAGTCTCGAATGCTGCCTTCCTCCTTTCTCAGGACCAGTTTCCTCTCTGAATCCAGGAAGGCACTTGGGGAGAACAGATCCACCCTGCTGTCTTGGCCTCTGGGTGAGCCTAGGCCTGCCTCCTCTTTGGGCTGAGGCAGGGAGCCCAGCCAAGGCTGGGCACAGAGGGGCACCAAGGGCTGAGCTGGGTTTTTGGAGAGCCTTGACCTGCTGCTGCAGAACAATTTCTGGCAGGGGGGATCCGGTGCTGGCCAGCACAATTGGGACTCCTGCCTTTGGTTGGATCCTGCGTCAGAAGCTCTCCGGAAGCCTGGCTGCCGTGGGCGGCTGGGCTTGGCCTGGCTCCGGCTCCGGCCAAGGGCTGCACCACCCCCACTTTTCCCAGGCTGCCTCCTCCTCTGCTGGCCTTGAAGCCTTTGGTGCTCCTTCAAGGCTGGGAGGGAGTCTGTTGTTCTCTTCCCCGCTTTCTCCCTCTGGCGGGGGGTTCAGCAGGAGGGAGAGAGCCACCCTGCAGGCCTTGGCCAAGCCTGGCTGGAGCTCTTCCCTTGGCCTTTGCTGCCCAGCCACTCTCAGCCACACAAGGCCCTCATTCTCTGGCAGCCCAGAGAAGAAAGGCGCCTTGTGGCTGACAAGGTACAGCTGCCCCTCCCTCCCTCCCTCCCTCCCTCCCCCAACAGAGCCTGCTTGTCAGGGCTTGTGGCTCTGAGTAGGAAGAGAGAGAAGGGGGGGACAGGCAGGCACCCCTCCCCCTCCTGCCCCAGGAGAGCTCCTCTACCTAGGCAAAAGTGGGGGGCGGGGGGCAGGAGAGCAGAAGCCCTCCTTGCTCTGGGGAGTGGCCCTCTCCTCCTTGGGCAGCTCAAAGACAAACAAGGCAGCAACCCGCTTCTTTGTCTCCTCCTGTGAAAGGATGGTGGGTTGGGGAGCGGGTTGTGCCAGGAAGGAACTCACCTGAGGCAGAGCTCTGCTGGCTCTCCTGGGCCAGGGCAGGTACTGGGCTTGCAGGTGGCAGCGTGAGGTTTCCCCTTTTGCCCTCAGAAAGGGGGATGCTGAGTGAAGAAGGAGCATCCAGGCCAGTCATGTTCTGGACTAGGAAGCCCCTTTCCTGGGCGCTTACGGATCAAATTCTGATACTGCCCATCTCACGTTCACTCTGCCAACTTTTAATTTCTCCAAGATTCTTCTGAAGACAACTGATAAATAGTGGTCGAAGACGAGGAGAGAGTAGCTGGCATGGAAGCAAGGGAATTTGGAATTGGGGTGGGGGCACAGACACCGCAACCAATCTTTGGCAGGTGCAGGAGGGAGCTAAGCTTCTCCTAGGGATGCCGCCATGAAAACAAGCCGTGGGTGACCGAGTGCTTCGTAGTGATAAAATACTACAAAGTGGCTGTATTGGTTGCAATGTTTTCAGAGGGCAAGTGATGATTGTCTCTCACAGAGAAACACCCAGAAAGCCTTCAGACATTCTACTTGTGTACAAGTGTTAAGATTTACATCCCGCCTTTGTTCCAGCAGTGGGGAGTGGACGCCAGGTTGATAGAAACTCCCTCCCCCCACCACCCATGCTGAGGGAGGACAGGCACCTGCATCTCCCTGCTGCTGCCTTCCTCACTAAAATGCTTTCGTTCATGTCTACTCGAGTGTTGTGGTCCACTGGTGACGGTGCCATAGATCCATGAAAATGTGTGCAATGATGCAGTCTACTCATTATAGGGCTACAATATCTTGATGGTTGGGCCGAAAACGATAGAGAGAAGTTAGCCTTTTGTTGAACTTAATGAAGATTAGTTAGTCATCAGGCAAGTTAACCTTGTAGGTGCCTCTTCCCTGCTGCCGAACAGCAACTACTTTGGGTAGCCTTTAAAAGCGGAAGTGCTTATCTTGTTCTTGAGAAAGGGGCACAGGGTTATCGGGGCTTAGTGGGGGGGTCCTCTCTCAGGAGATGTTTCTCCTGGACCTCGACTGGCAGAGCAACCATCCCCGCCCTCCCTCCCTGCAGGGAATGGAGGGCGAGGACCAGAGGCCTCCCCTCCCTAGGAGCAGCCTTGACCTGTCCTGGTTCCAGCCTGAGGAGGGCCCGCAGGGCAGCAGGGGTGTCTTGCACGGAGCTGGGATCTCTGGCGCTGTGTGGCCTGGCACTTCTGACGCTTCAGCTGCCCCCCTTTCCCTCCTAGGCCAGAGGAGGAGCCCCAGCATGGAGACTTGCAAGCACAACTTGGCGGAGCCCCCCTGCCAAGTGCAGAAGGCCATTCAGGTGAGCCGGTGCCCGGAGAGAACCCCTTGCCCGTCAGAACGTGCTGGTCCTCCCAAGTGGCAGGGGCGGCTCAGCAGGGGGCCTATCCTGTCCTGAGGTTTTGCAGACCGGAGAGTTGAGCCAAGGGGTGGGAGCCCCCCCCCCTGCCTTGGGAAGCCCTCCCCGAGCCTGCTCAGCTTGCTTCCCCTCCGCTGCCCCTCCTAAAGCTGTTGGACAACCTGCCCTCTTGCCTTTTCCTATCTTTCCTGGCAATCGCCTTCAACCTGCCTGGCTGGAGGATGGCAGTTAAGAGGGAGGGAGGAGCCAAGAGAGAAGCCAGGCTGCCCTCTGCTCTTGCCCACTCGAGGACTAGGTGCGAGTGCCTGGGGAGGGGCAGACCCTGGGACACACAGCCAGAGCATCTTTGCTGCACCCATCCACACTGCCCCCCCCCCCGCCCCAACCTGGCTGAATCTACTGGCTATCCTTGAAGGAGGAGGAGGCCGTTCGACAGCCTTTCTCCCCTGCCCTGCAGAACAGCCTCCTGGACCTGACCGAGACGGGCCGAGGCCTGAAGGTGCAGACACAGAAGCCGCACCTGGTGAGCCTGGGCAGCGGGCGCCTCAGCACTGCCATCACTCTGCTGCCTCTGGAAGAGGGTATGTCTGCAGTCTCGGGGGCCTTCCCTGCTCTGCTGCCCCTTGAAGGAAGAGTGTTCCCCGCACTCATACCTCCTCCTTTGCAGGCAAGACTATCCTGGGCTCCGCTGCTGGGGACATCGTGCTACAGGGGGCTGGGGTGGCCCCCCAGCACTGCTTCATTGAAAATGCATGCGGGACCCTCACCCTGCACCCCTGCGGTCATCCCTGTGCCATCGACGGGCAGCCAATCACCCGCCCCACCCGCTTGTGCCAAGGTAAGGAGAGGAGAGGCTCTGCTGGCTGGGCACAGAGAGACCTGCACCCCCGTTAGGCTGCCTCGGGCCAAGTCCATCCGGCCTCAGAGCTGGTCATCCCGATGGGACCCGCATTAGTGCACGGTCCCTCTGGCCTTTGCGTCTTCCGACAAGTGTGGGCCACTCCATTCCCTGGCTGGTGGGTCAGCCTAGCGCTGCTAAGCTCTGGAGTTTGGGGGAGTGTCCAAAAAAGAGACATGCTCCCTCCCTGCCCCACAGCTCTGGGGAAACATGGCAGACCCACACCAAGCCTTAAGGCAGAGGGCATCTGCAGGAAGGAACCCCGCAAGGGTGGCGTAGGAGCTCTTTTGAGTGCGGCAGGGCAATGGTCAGTCTCCTGGGTCAACACTGAGCAGGGAGCCTCCCTGCCGGGCCACAGTGGAAGACCAGCTTTGATCATCACCATGGCAACCCCATCCCTGGCAAGGGGAGCAGCTTTGCTGGCACAGAGGAGAGGGAGGCAAGAGTTGGGCGGTGGGAGGGGCATCCTTTCCATCACCCAAGGCTGGGCAACTGCCAAGCGAGACCCTGCCCAGCCATCGCCTGCCAATGCGGCCCCAGCTGACCTCTGCTCTCCTCCAGCAGCTGCTTGGCCCAAGCAGCCCTGGGCCTGGCTTCACAGTGGCCCCTCCTGTGGCTAGCTGTGTAGGGCAGGATCCCCGCTCCCTGACATACTGATCCTAAGTCTGACGGTCTCAGAGGGAAAAGTTACACATCATTATATCCAGAGGAAGCTGCAGAAGCTCCCTCTAAAGAGTGGGACTTCCTGGCCAAGAGCGGCTGCAGGCGAGACAGGCTGTTTGGGGGGCTGACTGGGAGGGGCCTCTGTAGATGCAGGTCCAACTCGGACGCCTCCCCGTCTCCCTTTTCATCCAAGCTGCTGGTCTGCAGTTTAGCAGGAGGTCCTTGGTTTACAACGGCTCTTGGGGCCAGAATTGCGAATCACTCCATGGTGCAGTCAGAAAGTGCAACGTTACACACTTGCGCCGCTTAGTGATGGGTGATTCTGGCAGTCCCAAAGGCCGTTTTACATGAATCACTGCAGGTTGGTGAAGAAAGAATGGCAGGGAAGGAACGCTTGAGGGCTCTACGGGGCAGATGTCTTACTGAAGAGCTGGGGAAGAGCCCCCTCGAGGGGAGAGTTAGGGGCGGTGAGCACTGGTCCCCCACAGCTGTCCATCCCCCCCCCCCCCCGCCCGCCATTTCAAGTTAATTCCTTCTTGCTGTTTCTCATCTGGACTGCAACAGAAACCACCAAGTCAACTTTTCCAAGGACTCATCGCTTCCTGCCTGAATCATAGTTTTGGTCTGATGAGACCCTGGAAAGAGAAGAGTTTCAAAGGAGTCGCCCCAAAGCCTTGACCGGGGAGGAGCCAAGTGGCTGCTCTCCTCCTGGAGGGCGGCCTCGGTCCCCGCTTCATCCCTTGGCAGCCAGCAGCGGGTGGGGCGCCCTTGGCTGCGCTGGAAGGCCAGCAGACTCAGGCTGGCTCCGGGGGCGGGGGGGGGGGGGGCGGATTCCCACCTTCCCGCCCCGCACACTTGGCGCTCCTGCAGGGGATCCACGGAGAAGCCGCCTGGCCCTCGGGCGCCCGGGTGGAGCTCTCCTCGCTGGCTGGGCCGGAAGGCCGAAGCTGCCCCCACGCGAGCTTCCGCGGGCCCCGCTTCCTCCAGCTCCCCCCAGTCCGGTGGGGCGCCCAGTTGGCCGACCGCCTCCCCCCGCCACGGGAAGCCTCCGCCGCAAGCGAACGGGCGCCGGGAGGAGGGCCCCGCTTCGGCGGGCGGGGGAGCCACCTGTCGCCCCGGCGAGAGAGCTGCGGGGCAGGAGCGCCGCAGGGGCCAACGGGACGCGGCGCCCGGCAGAGCAGCCAAAGCGCAGCGCCCAGGGGAGCCTCCCCGCCTCCGCCCACCGCTCGCTCGCCGCTCGTTTTCGCAATCCCGGAGGCGGCCGGCGTCGCCTCCCACCCGGCCGGCCCAGCCTCTGCCCACCAAGCGGCCGTTCGGGGCGGAAGGCCAGCCGCGGCCTTCCAAGGAGCCGAGCCCCCCATGGAAGCATCTGGGCTGCGAGGAAAGTCGGGCGGGATCCGGAGAGCTGCGGGCTCTGGCCGGCCTCCTTCCTCCCAGCGCGGCTCGGGCAGCTCAGCCTTGCGGCCCCCTCCTCTCCCCTCCCTTTCCCGGCTGGACGGCAGCTGCTGGGATGAAGCGGTGGGGGCCCAGGGGAGGGGCGCGGGGGGCTCTGGCCTTAGGCGGCCCCTCGGAGGAGACCCCCACCCCCGCCCCCAGGCAGCAGGGCGAGCGGGCCGGGCCTCCAGTTCCTAGGCGGGCAGGAGAAACCCAAGCAGCCGGTGGGGGGTTCTGGAGGAGCGCCTGCTTGGCTTCGGTTGCCCCGAGGGCGGCAAGGGAGGCTGACTTGCCTTCTGAAGCAGGAACTGGGCTGCGGGTCCAGGACGCTCCTGGGCTCCGTCTGCAGTTGGGGTTGCCGCTGAGCCCTTGGAGGCTCCAGGTGCCCGTGGGGCCCATTTCTTGGGCACGTGCTCTGAGATGCCCCCCCTTCATCCAAGTATGCCAGGCCCCCTGTAAGGGTCCCACAGCCCACTTTGCTGGGGGTCGGTCTGATCTTGTGCAGAGAAGGGCTGGGGGCAATCATTGGGGCGGGGGGAGGCGGTTAGAGCAGACGAGCTTCCCTTAGCACAGACAGCAGGGCTCCTCCGTTTGCATTTCATTTGTTTGCTCCAGAATTGGCCAGAGAGTCGTGTCCCCCCCGCCCCTTTGCCTGGGGAGTTTGGGGCTCAGACTAACTGAAGACTGAGCGCTGTTGCTGCCTGCCTTGCAAGAGGGACGGCTGAGGGGCCTTCCAGGCAAGCCGTACCCCCTTGGCTAAGGCAAAGGCTCTATATCGCCCATATTGGGGGGGGGGGCAGGCGTGCCTGCTGGGGCCGTGGAATGTTATTCCCTCAGGCACTGCATTCAGTGTAGCTCAGGCTCAGCGCTGCAGCTGGCACAGTTGCTTAGTGGCTCAGGTGGATTGGAAAGCTGAGGAGAGGAGGAGGAAGAGGAGGAGACCCCGGGGTCTTTGGTTCCCATCTACTTTTCCAGCACTGAGCCTGGCTGTGGCCAGAGCTCCCACTGGTCTCCCACTCTCTACCACATGAGAGGGCTGCCAGCTGGATGCCCTCCACAGGTCCCCTCTGGCATGGAGCGGCCACCCCCGGTGTTTCAGTGACCACTTGGCCCTTTCCTGGCCAGGCCTGGCTGTTGCACCCAGGGTAGGACTGGCTGGAATGGGGCTGCACAGGCATTGCGGGAATGTGAACTGGTCTCAACCCCACTGAGCAGCTCCACATGCTTTTATTGGGACGGGTTGCAATCCTGGGATCCGGTTGTGCTGGGACGCCTCCTTGTTTTTCAGCACATTAGGGAGGCATCTGCCTGGATCACTTCCAAACCACAGCTGGACATTCTGGACTTTTGAAAATGCCTTCAGTCTATTTTGACCAGGCAACACTTCCTGCCTGTCTCCGTCAAGGGCGCCGCCCCGTTCTCTGCACCCAGCCTGTCCCTGTGTGGGCTGGGGAGCCTCCAGCAATTGTGTCCACTGGAGGGGGGTGTGTGTCAGGGTAGGAAGGATTGCTTCTGATGTTCAGCACCAGAAACTAAAGAGCACTTGGGGAGGGATGGTCTGTTGAGAGCAGCTTCAGGCCCATTCGTATGGGGTTCCACAGAGACCGCCCCCCATCCCCCCCGGAAGGGCCAGTTCTGGTCTGAGCCAGCTAGGAGGGCTGAGATGAGTTGCAGCTGTGGGCAGAGGGTCTTTCCTGGGCTTTGCAGCGGGGGGCAGTGGTGCCCTGGCTTCCTGGCCACCCTAGCGGCATTGCTGAGGCCTCTGAGCAGTCCCCAAAGGCAGCCCCCCAGAAGGTGCACTGCAGTTGCCCAGCAGTAGGATGCCCTGAGACCTGCAGGAGCCAAAGCCGCCTAGAGCTTTCCAGAGGCGGCTGCCGCTCTCGGGCACAGCGGGACCTGACCTCTCGGGCCTGCTTGGCTGACGGGGCTCCTTCCCGCAGGGCACGTGATCTGCCTTGGCCGAGCGACCTTCCTCCGCTTCAGTCACCCGGCAGAGGCCAAGCGAATGAAAAGCCAAGCGGTGCCTGATGAGTGGCAGAACCCAGGGGCCCCGCATGGGCTGGGAGCAGGTGGGTCCTTTGCTGGTTGGGGTCTGGGGGCTCGGGGGCTCTGGCCCCGAAGGGGGAAGGGGAGTGAGCGGAGGCTTCTCCCGTCTGAGACTCCATCTCTTGGCAGCAGCAGCAGCAGCAGCAGCAGCGTGGCCGAGCCCCCCCAACGGCAACTCCCAGGGGGCATCGCTCTCCCTGGTCAGCTCCATTGAGAGGGACCTGCAGGGCATTATGGATTCCTTGGTGCTGCAGGAGGAGAGTGGGGCTGGGAGGACCCCAGCCCCAACAGCCGGGTCTCCTGCAAACGGCGGGGGGGGCTGCTCCCTTCTGTCCCCGCCCCAGAGCCCTGGCCACACCTCCAGGCTGGCCCCCCATGAGAACGCCTCCTGTGGCCCCTTCTCTCCACTCTCCTCCCCTGCCAGCAGCAGCAGCAGCAGCAGCGGCTGCCGGAGCCCCTTGTCCAGCTGGCGAGAGAGGGTCCCTGCCCTCCCCCCTGCGGTGCCTGTTCGATCCTCCAGCTACGGCCAGGCTGCCTTGTCGCCCCACGGCAGTTCCAGAGGCTTCCTAAGCTCTGCTTGCAGCTCAGGGAGCCCCCGGGCCGAGAGGAAGGTCCGGCGGGATGGCCCCACAAGCCCCCTGCCAAGGCGCAAGGATTCCCGTCCCAGCCAGCATGGGGCCTCCCCACGGAAGGAGAACCCACTAGGTAGCCCTCGCCCACCATCTCCTGGGAACCCCTGCTTGGCCAGGGCTTTCCAGCTGCCCGGCGTGCTGCAAGGCAAGGCTGTGGCCCTCCAGGACCCGGGACCCGGCCCGGAAAGGCTGCCGGTCAGGGTTTCCCGACCAGCCCAGCTGGGGGAGTCAGCCTGCCAAGGGTCGGAGCTGCCAGGTGTGGCCCCTCCGTCCAGCCGGGCCCAGCGGCTCCCTGAGAGTCCCCAGCTCAGCCGGCGGCCCCTGGAGGGCATGCGGGACCTCCCTCCCCTCAGCCCGGCCCTGGTGCACCGGGCAGCCTCCCCGGCCCCTGGAAGCAGACTCTCCTCGCAGGGCAAGCTTGGGGAGAGTCCCAGGGGGTGGCGGAGGGAGGCGTCTTCCACCCCGCCCCCCTCCCTCCCTGGAGAGCCCACCCAGCGCAAGCCCCACGGGGAACCCGGCCTCAGCTCTGCCTCCAGCTTGGCTTCCCTCGTCCTGCCTTCGGATTCCCCCCAGCCACGCTGCCAGGGGCCTGGGGAGTCCCGGTTGCTGGGCCCCACATGGGAGCGCAAGGAGACCAACTCCCAGCGGCTGGGTGCGCACGAGAGCAGCCTGCTGGAGTACCACCGATGGCAGCGCCAGGAGCGTCTCCGGGAGCAAGAGATGGAGCGCTTGGTGAGCAGGGGTTGAGCCTCGTGGGGGGCTGGTATGAAAGAGGCAGATTTGTCCTCTTAGGCTGGGATGGGTGCAGGGGAGAAAATGGGTCAGGCCAAAGCAGGGGGAGCTGCTTTGGAAGGAGGGAGAAGCTCTGGCGCCTTCCCCGCAGGCTGTGCTGGGCATAGACACAACCGGGGTGACGCAGCGGGCGCAACACCTGCTGTAAGCCAGCCTGCTCCCTCCTGGCAGGGAGGCTGGTAGGGACAGAGCACCTTGGGTAAGCCTGGCCGGGGTCGGTCCGTAGCAAGCCCAGTTGGCGCGGGATCTGGGGGAGGGGCGTTCAGGTGCCCGGCCCCTCCTTCCACCTCACCAGCCTCTTGTGGCTCTCGCTTTGTCTCTGGGCAACCAGGAGCGCCAGCGGCTGGAGACCATCCTCAGCCTGTGTGCCGAGTACAGCAGGGGCGAGGCTGAGCTGGGCCAAGAGGGCAGCGCCAATGCTGCTGATGGGGCGCTCCCCCCGCCAGGGAGCAGGGCCCCCCGGGAGCAAAGGGAGGAGGAGAGCTTGCAGGAGGAGAGCAGCAGCACCGAGAGCGCCGGCCAGGAGGTGAGGAGGTGGGCAGAGGGTCTCTGCGGTGCCGTGGCCTGGGAGGTGACCTTCCCCTCTGGAGGGAGGCTTGGAAAGCCCTTGCCCACCCATGGAGGGGTTGCCACTTCCTCTGCAGCACGAGGTGCCACCCACTCCGGAGCTGGCCCTTCTGGAGGAGGAGCACACCCGCCTGCTGGCCAGCGCAGACCACCTCAAGAGCCGCCTGGAGGGGCTGGAGCAGCAGCTGCAGGAGACTGCTTGGGAGGTGAAGCTGTCCTGCCGAGAGACTGGCAGTGCCGCCCACCCGGGGGGGGGGGGGGAGCTGGTGGCTGGCGGTGCTCATGCAGCTGCCCTTCTCCCCTGCCCAGGCGGAGATGGAGCAGGCCCTCCTGCAGGGCGAGCGGGAAGCCGAGATGCTGGAGCTGCAGCAGGAACAGCAGGCGGTGCAACTCCTGCAGGAGCAGCTCTCGGGCCTGGATGCCGGCACTCGCCACGAACGGGAGAAGGTAACTGGCCGGGGAGCCTCCAGCTTAGCAGATTGCTGCCCTGGCGTAGCAGGAAGGGGGGTTTTCCTAGTCCCCGGAGGAAGCCCTGATGAGCTTGGGGGCGAAAGCCTTTGCGTGTCTCAAGGAAGAAGCCACGGGTAGCCTGGCGAACTGACAGGTCTTGCCGGGAACAAATCGGCCTGACCTCTGCCTCCTCTTGGCCGGGCAAAGGTGCCCATGGGGTCGTGTTCCCTGGGCCCCCCCAATCTTTGCTCTCACAGGGAGCCTGAGGGGCAGCACCCACTCTGAAGCCCAGCCACTAACATCCCGACTGACACTAACTCTGCCAACCCTTCTCCTCCCTCTCTTCCTCCTCCCTCTCTTGCTCCGCCTACTCGCAGCTTGGAGGGGGGGATGTCTGTGTGGGCCAGGAGAGGCCGAGCTGTCCCTTCTTGGAAGCCACCAGTGCTTGGCCATTGCAGGCCGTCTGGGGTGGCAGCCCCAATCCGCTTGGGAAGAGGTGACAGGACTGGAGCCCCCCGCCTCTTTTTGTACCTCCACCTGAGAAGGGACCGCCTGGCCGAGTCCTTGGGGACAGGCTGGTCACCCCAGCCCAGACCCATCTCTGAGAAAAGCTTGACAAGCTGAGCTGCCTGGGGAGAGCAGGCGATGCCCCCGGCTTGTTTGTCCCACCCAGGCTCTCCCTGGGGAGAGCGTTCCCCTGCTTTGCGCCTGGAGGCTGGGAAGTCCTTCCACGCGGAGCCCAATCCTGAGGCTGGTTCCCAGGCTGCGCAGCCCTGGGGGACCAAAGTCGGCTGCATTGGCAGAGTTTGTTCTCTGGTGCTCGTCATGTTGCACTGTCGATCCTGGGTTTGCCAACCCTGGAAAGGAAAGGCAGCGATCACGGGGGTCAGGCAGGGTCCACCCCTCATCTCGCCTCTCTTGAGTGCCTCTGCTGGAGAGACCAACCCTCAGTCTGACCAAAGCCTGCTTCTTAGGGGATGAAAACCACCATCCGTGTCCTGACTCCCAGAGCCACTTATTTGAAAATGGCTGCCGTCTCTCTCTCCCCCCACCCCGTTTCCTCCAGGCTAAACCTACCTGACCGGTGCCTCCACCTGTTCCTTGTAGGTCTTTTCTTCCAGGCCCCTTATCATCCTGGTGACTCTCCTCTGGGACACATTCCAGTTTGTCAGTCTCTGTCCTAAGTGTGGTGCCCAGAACTGGACACAGTCTCCTAGGTATGGTCTGATTAACGCAGAATAAAGAGGCACCATCATTTGGCTTGACCTCCACGCAGCTTCAGCCGGCTTTTACTTTTCGGTAGCAACACCACCTGCGGCTCATGTTCATCTTGTGATCCACCAAGACCCCCGGTCCTTTTATGCATCCCCTGCCCAGTACGGCCCCTGTCCCCGCCTGCCATCCCACGCTGACGATTTTGCTTTTTCATGCTCCGATTAAAGCTTTGCATTTCTCCCAGGTGAAATTCGCCCCTTTGAATTTCATTGCTTTTTGCCCAGCAGCCAAGCTTGTCCAGAGGCTCCTGGCCTTGGTCTAGGCAGGGTTACTCCTTCCTGTCCCTGGAAACTTTGGCATCGTCCCAGGAGCTTCCAATGTAGGCGTCACCCAGCCGTCCTCAGGGTGTTTTGGAAGTGGGGGATAGACGTAGAGCGAGACCTTCCCTGGGCTACAGAAGCGCCTCGGGCACAAGTCTGGGTCAGCCCTGCTTGAGGCGCATTTCCCTCGGCTGACTCGTCTGAGCTTCCAGCAGCCCAGAAGTTGCCAGGAACTGGAACGGAGGTTCCCCCAAGGGCCCGACGGGCCTCTTGGGTCTTCAGCTCCACTGCTCAGGCTTGCTTGCAGGGCAAGGCGGCTTCCAGGCGCCTGGGGCAGAGGCGAGGAGAGATCAGTTGGCAGCTTCTCCAAGGCCGGACTTTGCACCAAAGAACAAAGACAGGTGTCGCTGCCCTGGCAGCTGCCGGGGAGGGTGGGCTGGCAGACCCTTAACCCAAGACCCTGGCTAACCCCATCTTTGCATGGCCTGCTCCCAAGAAGCCTGTTTTCTCCTCTGTCTCCCCTCCGTTTGTCGTTTTCTCCCGGCTTCAGGAGAGGGCGAGGGTGGATGCAGAAAGGAAGGCGCTTGAGACACTGCGGGCGTTTTACTCTGAGCTCAAGAGCCAGCTTGAAAACTGCCCCGAGTCAATGAGGGAGCAAGTGAAGGACCAGATGCGAAGGGTCAGTGCCTCCTCTACCCCGGCCCACCTTCAGTGGGGCAGGGGAAGCCAGCCCAGGCCCACCGGCAGCAGCAGTGCCCCTCCAGAGGCTCACCAGGAGCCCCCCCCGCCCCGCCCCCCATCTCGCACACAATGGCCTCAGCAGCCTTGGGGCAAAAGGGACGGAGCGCAAGGGCAGCTGGCCCACAGAATGGGTCTTGCTGCCCAGCCTCGGGAGGAAGAGGGGGTGCCAGGCAACCCCCACTCTCCTCGTTTTGGGCTTCTCCTGGGATAGTTGAGAGGGGGGTCCTCGGGGAGTCTAGAGGACGCTGGCCGACCCCACACCCGCAGAGAGCCTGCCAGTTGTGCTCCCTGGCAGGAGCCCATCAGGCCAGCCTTGCCCAAACTGGCTCCTCTAAGCAGCCGCGTCCTGCACAGGAAGCGGAGGCCCTGGAGACGGAGACCAAGCTCTTTGAAGACCTGGAGTTCCAGCAGCTGGAGAAGGAGAGCCGCTGGGAGGAGGAGGAGCAGCGTGAGATGCTGCACAGCGAGGTGCAGGGCCGCCACCGCCTGGCCCTCCGGGAGGTGAGCCCAGAGCCCCTGCTTGCAGAGCCTGCAGAGCCCGTCTGTCCGTGGCTCCGGTCAGCATCCCTCCTTTCTCCCTGCTGCAGGAACGCATGGCTGCCCTCGAGGGCCAGGCAAAGCAGCTGCGGCTGCAGGCTGCTCAGGAGGCCGACCGGCTGCACCAGGAGAGGAGGGCCACCCTGCAGCGGCTCCAGCAGGTAGGCCACAGGGCAAGGAGCAGCGGTTGCAGAGGAGGCCCGGCTCTCGTGGCCATGGGGAGGCTGTTTCCGCTGACCCTCCCCCTCCCTGCTTTCCCCAACAGGAGAAGGAGGCCCTCCTGGCGCTGGAGCAACGGTTCTGTGCGCTCACTGGCGGTGCCGCATTCCCCAAGGGCTCCAGCCACCTCCAAGAGGTTCGAGGGGGCTGGGGCAGCCTGGGGAGAATGTGCCCAAGGAGCTACGGCAGGGCTTGGGGCCTGGCCCGGAAGGGGAGGGGTGCTGGAGGTGGGACCCAGGCACAAGAATGGCAGCACCCCCCCCCACCACACGCTCCCCCGTCAGGCCCACAGCAGGAAGAGAGAGACGGGCTTTGAGCTGCAGAGAGTATTTGACCCCTTGGCCCATTTCAGGCCAGCAGCTTCCACAAACCCTGCGTGGGCTGAATGCAGGCCCTGTTGAGGCCCCAGCGGCCGCATTTCCAATGCTCCCCCAGCCTTTCTTCCCCCCTCTTCTCTGTGGTTCCCACAGCCCTCCCTTCTGCACTTGTAAATGGGGTGCACTTGGCATTCCTGGTCTGGACCCCCGCAGGCCCCGGGCAGTTGCTCCTCGACTTGTGTCCTGGAGCAGTCCGGCCAGCAGCCCTCCCAAAGATCAGCTCTGGCCTGGGTCCCTTGAGCCAAGATGGACAGGAGGGGCAGCAGCCCAGCTGGCCCCAAAGCAGGGGGCCGTTCCCCCTGGCCACAGACCCTCCTGCAAGGACACCTTCTTTGGTCAGTCCAGCCACTGTGGAAGCGGCTGCCCCCCCCCCCCCCCGGCCCCGCTTGAGCACTCCCAGGGCTTTCTTCCCACAGGGCTCTCCACCCGCAGTGGGCAGAAGCGGCAGCTCCCCCCGCAAGCTGACCAGCCCCCTCCTCGACCTCGGGAGGAAGCGTGAGGCGTCCCTGCACCACAAGGGTGGGTGATGCCTCGTCCGTGCCCCTCTACAGGGCCCTGGGCCCTCTCGGTGGGTGGGTGAAGTCCTGCTGGCACTGAGCCCGCCTTTCCCTGGGCCTCTTGGCAGGGCACCAGGCTGTTCAGGAGCAGCGGCAGCGCCTGGCTGAGCCGAAGCAGAAGGCAGCTGTGGAGTGCCAGGCCCTGCGGGGGAGGGCCCTCTTCTCCCCCCTTGTGCCCCCCTCTGTCCTCCACCATCACTCCTTCCTGGGCCAAGGTCAACTGGCCGATGACCCCGAGCCAGCCTACGACACCCTCAGCCTGGAGAGCTCGGACAGCCTGGAGACCAACCTCTCCCTGAGTGGGAACTCCGCCTGCTCCCGGGACAATGCCTGCAGGTCAGCCCCCTTGGCCCTTGGGCTCGGCCTGCCAGGGCTGCCCCCACTTCCAGGTTCTCCCGCGTGGCCTCTGGGGGGGCCGCGCGGCTGGCTGGCTGGCTGCTAAGGGCAGACCCTCCTGGGCCGGGAGAGGCGGGCTGGCGGCTGGGCAGGCGATGACAAGGGGTTGGCCTTGCAGTGCCGGAGGGGCCGATGCCCGGAAGATCGAAGAGATGGAGAAGCAGCTGATGGAGGCCCAGGCTGAGAGGTTCCGCCTGATGGAGTCGCGAGTGAGCGCGGGAGCAACAGCCTCGGGGTGGGGTTCAAGGGAGCCGGTCCCCTCCAGCTGGCCCTTCCAAGCCAGTTGGGGAGGGGGCTCCAGGCGGGTGGTTCCCTTCTCCCTATTGAATTCTGCCCTTCCCCAAGCGGCAGGACTGCCCGGGGTGGGTAGGCAGCTTCTGAACATGGCTGGGGAGGGCAGCTGGGGCTACTGAGGGGGCGCAGTGGCCCACCCTTCTGTCCCGGCAGGAGCAAGAGATGGAACTGCGTCACCAGGCATTGGAGGACGAGCGGCGGAGGCGGGAGCAGCTGGAGCGGCAGCTGCGGGAGGAGACAGCGCAGCGGCGGCAGCTGATCGAGAGAGAGGTTAAGATGCGGGAGAAGCAGCTGGCTCAGGTGTGCAGGGCAGGGCTGTCAGGTTCCCCGTGGAGAGGGAAGGCCTGTGCCTATCCTGGCACACCTGGCCAAGGAGGAGGCGGAGGCCCCGGGAGGGTTCTCTCTGGGGTCTGGGAGGCTGGCGTTGAGCTTGGCATAGGCAGACTTTCTTCCTGGCTGCAGGAGTTGGGGGGCAAAAGGACTTTGCCAGCGCTGCTGCCAGCTCCACTGCTCCCCCGTTCTGCAGGCTCGCCCCCTGACCCGCTACTTGCCCATCCGCAAAGAGGACTTTGACCTGCGCTTGCACATCGAATCCTCCGGCCACAGCGTGGACACCTGCAGCCACATCATTCTCTCGGAGAAACTGTGCAAAGGCTACCTGGTCAAGATGGGAGGCAAAATCCGGTCCTGGAAGAAGCGCTGGTTTGTCTTTGACCGCCTGCGACACACCCTCTCCTACTACGTGGGTGAGGCTCCCCAGTCCCGACACGGCCAGCCCCCCTGCCTCACTCTTCCCCTTGGCCCTCAGACTGGCTTCAGCCGCCGGCCTCTTCCTCTCCCCCCTGCAGACAAGCACGAGGCGAAGCTGAAGGGCCTCATCTATTTCCAGGCCATTGAGGAGGTTTACTATGATCACCTCCAATGCGCAGCCAAGGTGAGACCCAGCCTGATCAGGGAGGTGGCGGGGGGGGCACCGAGTGGAGCCCTAACATACCCTGCCCCCCCCCCCCCGGGACTGCGCTTCACCTGCCTTTCCTTCTCCTGCAGAAGAGACTCTTCCCTCCCCCGCTGTCCGTGGGGGGGACCCATCCCTTTCCTCTGGCTAGCGCAGCAACCCTGCATGATCGATCCTGAATCCTTGAGCTAACAGAGCCATCCAGGAGGGGAACATTTGGGCTGAAACGCCTTAGGGACTGGGGCGGGGAGGCAGCACCGGGGGCAGACTAGGGCACCATCTCACCAGTCAACCTCCGCAGGGCTCAGGTAGCGTGCAGCCCCCTCGCCCTCAGGGCACCGCCTGAAGGCTAACGCTGAAGGCTGCGTGGGCTTCTTTGGGGCGCATTTTGGCTGCCTGGGCAAAGCTTCCCCATAGCTCTTGCGTTGCATCGCTGCCATGCGGCGCCTTGCCTGCCCCGCCCCCCGCAGTGCCTGTTCCCGAAGCATCGTGTAGCATCGAGAGCCTTTTGCTGTTCTCTCTTCAGGGGAGGTTTTGTGGGGGCCACTTCCGCCGCCTTCTGTGCCCTTGAGCCTTCTGTGCCTCCCTTCTCTTGGCAGAGCCCCAACCCTGCCCTCACCTTCTGCATCAAGACCCACGACCGGCTCTACTACATGGTGGCCCCCTCAGCAGAAGCCCTGCGCATTTGGATGGACGTCATTGTCACGGGGGCTGAAGGCTACACCCAGTTCCTGAGCTGAGGCAGCAGAGCCATGAATGGCCCCAGAGGGCCCAGAAGCTGTGGCTATCCCTCCGAAGCTTCCCAGGGATGGCCTCCATCAGCAGACATGGCCCCCTCTGCCGTGGGTGCCTGGGACGGACATGCGGGTGGCGAAAGCAGGGCCCCTGTCGGCAGCCTCTCCTGCCCATCACCGAACTCCAGGAGGAAACCTGGAGCCGCCACGCTCAGGCTTTGCAGTGCAGGGCTGGCTGCCCCCAACCCCGCCGGCCCAGGCCAGTGCAGACAAGGCCCAGAAGGTCATCTTGGCTCTCTCATCTGCAGGGCTGCCCTGCAGGAGCGACTGGGAAGGGTTCCCACTGGCAGTTTGGGGGTGCTGAAATTGCTGGCAAGAGTCTTTGCAGCCAAGAGACAGGAAAGCAGAATAAAAGCCTTTTGCATACTTTCATCCACATGGTCCTTTTGTCATTAAAAGAACTGGCTCAACCCATCAGCCCATCAAAGCACAGGACCGGAGCCACAGCATGCACGGCCCCCTTCAGGGCGGAGGGCCCTTGACCCGAGGGGGCCACTTCTCAGGTCTGACTCACCATTTCCCACCCCGGTGAAGTGGACATCAACGATGGGGGGAGGCTGCCTCTTCCTGGGACTCCCCAGCAAGCAGCCCAGAAGCCCCCACCCCCACCCCACAGGCAGCCTTGTGACTCTTGAGTCACAGCTCCCTTCTGAAGCTGTGGTTGTAGATTTCAGGATCGGCCCTAGAGACGCACTTTGCTTTTATCTCTCACTTGAGCCGCCTCAGTGTTGCAGCCTTAGCTGACCATCGACTTTCCAGAGTTCTTGTGGGGTTTTCCAGCCATTATCGGCACCGGGGCTCATCCCTTTGACCACTGCTTGCCCTTTTCTGCTGTGACCAAGGCGGGTCTAGTTTTTCTGCCCTAGAACAACAGCAGCGCAGCCGTTGAGGCAGGGGTGGGATGCTACCGGTTCGGCCCGGTTCTATAGAACCTGTAGCTGCGAAGAGCAACTGACACCAAACCGGTTCGGTGTTTGGCCCACCCGCCTTCCTGGGCTCTAGGCTGTCCTTTATTCCCCGCTTTTCCCTCCTCAGCTGCCTTGTGCAGCACAGCTGAGGTTGAAAAAGCAGGAAACGAGAGGATTTTCAACCTCTGCGCTCCCAAGCGCAGCGCTTGTCAGCTGTCCAGGCGGCACAGCTGATGATTTCTTGCAAACGCTGCACACACAATGGTCCCCAGTCCAGAGAACCGGCAAATCGCTCCACTGGCTGGCCCCGCCCACTCACTCCTTACCTGGCATGCGAGCCATCCAACTAGCCTGGTTTGGTAAGTTGCTATTTTTTCTCTCCCCTGTTCTGCTCTGCCAGGAGATTTAGATTAGCTAGAAAGCAGGAAATCCTTGGATTTCTTGCTTTCTAGCTAATCTAAAAGCAGAGCCGTGATCACCTTCCTTAGGACAAGCTTTTTAGTCCGGACTCAGGTAGCCGATTGAAGATAGATCTCTAAGTGAATCTGTGATTCTGGGAGCAACTCAATCTGCCTGCCTGCTTTGCTTGATTTGGGGTAAAAGTTGCTCTTTTTTTGTAAAAAAAATCAATGTTTACATAAATATTTACATACAAGCCATGCCCACCCAGTCATGTGACCAAGAAGCCACACCCACAAATTAGGCCACACCTGCAGAACCGGTTGTTAAGAAATTTGAATCCCACCCCTCCTGCATTGAAGGCACATGCTGGCAACACACTCTTTATTGCCTGGCCCAATGGCCAAGGACAGCTGAGAAGGGAAGGGTCCGACAGGCTTTAAGGCATGCAATGGGGCCCCGAAGTGTGCAGGGCCTGCACAGCGCCGTCGTTCTGAGCCATGCCCATCCGAGGGTCTCAAGAGCCAAGCCGAAGAGGCGGCTACCCTTCCCAGTGGACAGGTCCATCCCCGAGGAACCCAGGAAGCTGTGAGATCAGGACAAGGCAGGTCCCAATCCAGGGCCAGGAGGGAGAGCAGCGTACGCGGGCGGACGTGAGCTGCTCTCCATACAGATCTAGCAGCTGGAGGGCCACCCCGTTCGTCCAGCCGAACCCTTCCTGCAGAGGGAACGGAAGAGGGATCAGATGAGTGGGGCCTCTTTGATCAGGACACGCCCCCCACCCCCCCTCCTCTGCCGTGTCAGGACCCCTTACCTGCACTGGATATTCCCCACCACCTCCTGGCTTCCCATCACCTTCCACGTCATACTAGAAAGAAAAAGGTGTCAGCAACGATGGCCGGCCGCTCCAGGCTAAGCTGCCCTGAGGGGCCAGGGCATGGAGGCAGCCAACGGGAGAGGACCTCTCCTGGAGGCTCCATGCTGGGAAGTGGGGGGGAATGGTGCGGGGGGGGGAGGGGAGCTGCATGGAAGAGGCAGGCGCACAGGAGAGCTACCTCACCTTCTCAAACATGCCTCCGTGCTTCTCATAGACAGCCAGGTTCATCTGGAGCCAGCGCTGAGCCAGGCTGAAGGCCAGCTCTCGTGCCCGGGCAGAAGAGGATTTGACCAGGCCTGGCAGGGCAGGCAAAGGGTGTCAGGTGATGCCAAGGGAAGCTACCCTGCAGGTCTTTCTTGAGGCTGGGCTCTGGCAGGGAGAGTGGCCCAGGGAACAGGGCAGGAGGCTGAACCCCACACAAGCTGGAAAGGCAGGAGGCAGGGCCAGCCCCAGACCCGGTGAAACCCACCCTGGGCTCTTTGGACGGCCGCCTCACCTGTGATCACCATGTGCTGCAGGGGGGCCCAAGCGTTTGGAAAGTCCCACTGCTCCCCCGTCCGTGTCAGGGAGGTAGGCAGTCCGTTAGCATAGGAAAGGGCCGAACTCTCCTGCAGGCACACACAAAGTGGGACAGCCAGGGACAGTGGGTAGGGGGCAAGGCTGCCCTGAGGTGGCCTATCCTGTTGGGCCCCAATCTCTGGGTGGCACAAGGTGCAACTAGGGACTGATGTTCTGTCTCTAAGGCCAGCATTGGGTAGACAACCGCCTGCCTAGTGCTGTGCTGGTGTCCCTCTCAAGGAGAGTCCCCCTCTGGTGCTTTGGCAGGCAGGCAAGGGGCCCCATCCCCATACCAGGGCTGCTCCCCCAGAAAGACGTCAAGATCTGTGCGGGTAAATTGTGCAGGTAGCATCTGTCTCTGGCCAGCCACTGGCTGCCTCTTACCTCCAGGTAGCGAAGCACCTTCTCTGCCCTGGGCAAATCCACGTCACACTCTGCCCACAGGGGGCTTAGGTTGGAGGGGTAGAAGGCCGGGTTGTGCCTCTGGCGGAGGAAGTGATAGTCCAGCCAAACCCCAGCCTCCTCATTCCACAGGACAGCAGTGAGGGCAGCCACCCGCTCTCTCCGCGCAGCCCAGAACCGGCTTGCTTTCTCGCCATCCCCTGGAGAGGGCAAATAGCACTCCATGCCCCAGGCAGGTGGCTCACCAGGGTCCCAGAACTGAGCCAGCCTCCCCCAGCCACACAGCCATCGAGCAAGAGGCAACCCACCCCCCAAGAGGGAGTTGGTGGCAGCTGCCCCCTTTGTCCCATGTCTCACCAAGGACTTGGTAGAAAGTGGCCAGCAGCTGCTCAACTTTGCAAAGAATGGCGTTTAAGTCCACTGGCACAACCCCCCTCACTCGGGTGTCTTGTAGTGGGTCCTGCAGTGATGGGAAGCCTGGCAAGAACCAGCGGGAGGAGAAATCCCAGCCTGACTCGGCCGCACTCTGCAACTCTGCCCACAGGTCCTGCTGAGCTTCTGCGGGAAACAGGGGGGGAAGCAGGAGGTGGCAGCCTCTGGCATTGCCCACCAGAGCTGCAGGCAGGACGCAGCTTTGCTGCCATTCCTCGGATCCTAGAGATGGACGGTGCCCTGAGGTGCCCAGGGGCCACTCCCGGCCAGTCTAGGAATTCACATTAAACCCCCCTATGAGCGAGTGGGTGAGTGGGTGGAAGAGGAGGGGAGGGGAGGGGAAAGGGAAGGGAAGGGGGAGGGCAAGGCAAGGAGAAGTACCCATGAAGCACAGCATGCCCATCGCTGGCAAACTACTCTTCCTATGAAGAGGTTTCCTTAACGTTGGATTGGCAATTCTCTTCCTGTGATTATGTTTGGCCTTCAGAGATCACAGAGAACCACCTCAGAACCACCTTCGATGTGGGAGACATCCTTTCAGCTAGTTAAAAAATGGTGCCCTGTGCTTTGCCTCGAATGTCTTACCTGATTTCCTAAACCCCTCTGGAGACGTGGTACCCAGGGTTTGTCCAATTGCTCGAGGGGAATTTGAGCAAAGCGGAATGAAATGGAATTATTATTGGACATGCGGTGACTGGAAGCTCTATTTTTCCGATTCAGACAATAATTGTAGGTGCTGTTTTTGTCATGTGCTGGGCTGCTCACACTTAGTTGGCCAGCCTCTACGACTTCAAGATCCTTTCCGTAACGCCATTTCCGAGCCATTTCCCTCCCCACGGACCCGACTGGGCAGTTACCTTCCTGTAAGCCCTTTGCCAGCTCCACGTCTTTCATATAGGACTCGGGTCTGGTGGGGAGAAGGGAGATCCAGATGTTCTTGGCTATCAAGCATGTCCAATTAGTGGGGGGAGGAGGAGGAGCATCTCTGCAGGGCCACTTACCTGGGTTCCCCCACCTGGACACTGTAGCGATTCAGGGAGTATTGCTTGCCCCCCACAGAGATATTGACAGCCCGATGCTCTTGCCAGAAGCGATACTCGGCCTCGAGCAGGTGGATGTGTTTCCTGAAAGAGGCAGTGGTGAGAAAGCCTTGAGAAGGCCCCCCCCCCCAAACATTCCCCTTTAGGCCCAGTGACGGAGGGGGGGGAGGCGCGATGCCCTTGGCCAGTTCTGCAAGCTGAATGGCGGCAGCCCTGAGCAAGTCAGAAGTCCTGGTCACCACTTGGTTCAAAGATACTTGCCGTAGAAACTCTGTGTCATTTGTGTGCCTCAGGTAGCTCTCCATCATTAGGCTGAGAAGGGGTGGCTGACTCCGGTGCTCGTAGTACACCCGGCCTCCATTTGGGATGTGCCCAAATCTGACCATAGGAAGCACCTGGCTCAGAAGAGGCCTGGCGGCAGGGCCAGATCCTGCCAGGCCTCCCTGGGGCTAGCAGAGGAGCGGCCCATGCCCACCCAGCGGGTTCCCCCTCTGCTTCTTGGGAGTGGAGGCAGGAGGAGGGGGCCACGCCCCTTCCCAACCCTGCCCTTCCCAGCAACCCTCACTTGCTGACTAGGTAGAGGAAGTTCTGGATCAGGCCTTTGGCGGTAGCTGCCATGTTGGAGAGGAGGAGGCCTTCCAGGATCCAGAAGGAATCCCTGCAGGAAAGGAGGGGAGGGTTGAGGGAAAGGGGCCTCTTCTGGCCAGGCCGGGGGGTTGGGGCCCAGTCCACCACCAGCCCTCTGTGGCTCTCACCAATAGTAATATTCACGGAACCGCCCCCCAGGCACGATCACTGGGTTTGGCACATAGATGAGAGAGTAACGCCAAGGAGAGGCTTGGACGTCGGGGTCCACCTGAAGGGAAATGGAGCGGCTGCTGCTGAGGGCCCAGCAGGCTCCCTCGGCAGCCCCCAACCGGCTGAGCCTCGGCACTTACCCGCCTGCCCAGCTTCTTCCACTTGGCATTCAGGACCTGGCCCCAGGACCGCAACTTCTCATCTGAAATCTTCTCAAGGAGGGGGATGCTACAAGGGGCCCAGCAGATTCAGAAGGCAGCCATTCAAGAAGGGCTGGGACTCCCCAGGGAGGGATTTGGGGGGGGGGGGATGTCACCCACTTTGCAACCTGTGCAAGGCCCCACAAGACCTCCAAAGAAAAAGGCTCCCATCCATTCCCACCTGGGCGCCTTGGGAGGGAAGGCATCACAGAGCAGGAGATTCCCAGGTAATTTGGGGGCAGGCCAGGAGCACCGGGGTGGGGGGGTGGGGGGGCTGGCCTGAGAGTGGCTTTCCCAGAGAGGAGGTTGGCCATTCAGAGAGAGGGCTGACTATTGGCTGGCTGCCGCAGTCAAGGGTCCTCTGACCAGAAAGTTGGGGGGTGCTGTCTTCCAGGTCAGAAAGTGGCAAGTGACCTCAGGTAACAGGTGGCTCGTAGGATCTCAAAGAGCAACACGCCAAAGCAGAAGAGGGCCGGAGCCAATGCCTACCTCGAAGGGTGCCCAGGGTTTCCTAGGAACGGGGTCTCATTGGGAACTTATACACTGCAAGGGGTAGCATTGTGCCATCTATGAGAGCAGGGAATTTGTCACCACACCCCTTCCAGGTGCAGCTGTACCTGTCTGACCAGTCTGGAGGCATCCAGCTTTCCAGCTCCTTCCCTGGAGGAAAGAAGTGACTCTCCACAAATTGTGCCAGCTGCAGCTTGGATAAGGCTCCACCCGGTGCGGCATTCACTAATTCCTCAAAATGCTTCAGAACTACACCTGGAAGAATGGGACAAAAATCTAGATCTGATCTAGGTTCACTCGGGGGGGGGGGGGGTGAGGGGGGGCTAGACTTGTGCTAGCACACTTCAGCCGAATGGGCAGCCTTTCCTCTGCATTGCAACACACAGCCAGTTTCTCCATTCAGGAGCACCTCTCAAATGAGTGGGCCCTTATGGAAGCAGGGCGACTCTGGCCCTGGGAAGAGGACTGCGCTCTAGGGGTGGACATTCACCTGGGTTGGACTTCAGTGGCATGTCAACAAAGTCCTTGTCATCTTGAAAGAGCCTGGCCCGCTGGACCTGGCGCAGCAGCTCCCCAGTGCAGTAGATCTGGCTGGAGAGGAAGAGCAGAACCGGTGTGCAGAGGAGCCCTTGGGGAAGCGAGGCGGCTGCTCCTTGATGCCCACGGCCAGGGCTCCCCAGGGGCAGGGCCCTAAACACCGGGCATTCCCTTCCCCCCCCCTTCACCTGGGCCAAGAGCGCTAGGCTGCCAAGGTGCCTCTCCCTACAGGGCATGGAGTCTGCTGCCACCTTGCAGGGCACTCCCTTGAACTCTGAGCAGCCCCACCCTTGCCGTCTCCTCCTCCTCGCCACAGCACAATGGGCCCACCTGGGCCGCCACCGTTACAACTATAATCGGCCAAAGCAGCTCCGTCCAGTCCTGGAGCCTCAACCCAATCAATCGGAAGCAGCAGCTTCTGCCTCGTTCCCAACCAGGGACCAACTTCATCCCCACAAACACTTCCAGGCTCCTTCTAAGACGGGGGTGTCAAACTCAGGGCCTGTGGGCTGGCCTGGAAACAAGAGAACCGGCCTGTGGTGCCCCTGCCAGCAAAACAGGAGCTCCCCTCCCCCACTCCACTTTCACTGGCAGAGGACTACCCTCCCATAGGGGCCCCCACCCCAAGGTCAACCACCACCCTGATGCGGCCCTCAATTAAATCAAGCTTGACACCCTTTCCAAGGCAACTGTCTTTTCTTCTCCTCCTTTAACCCGCCTGCCCCACCAGAAACTCCCTGGGCACATTTTGTGGCTTGGCAAGACTGGCACCAGGCCTTGGCTCATCTCGGTTGTGCGCAGTTTCGGACTGCAACAAGCAATTCCGTTTTCCAACAATGCTGCCCCGCCAGCTCTCGCTCACCTGTCACATGGAGGCAGGAGACTGCCTGCCATTGCCTGCCACCTCCACAGAGCTGCACAGACGACCACGAATGCCCACCCCACCGGACCTGGCATTTCAGCAGAGAGCTCGAGTGTCCAGCAACACCGCCGTTCCAGGCAAGGCCCGCAAAGCAAGCCTGCAGTTTCACACTCGGCTCTTTCTCAACTTTCAGGCGGGGCTGCTCCAGGCTGGCATGCCGAAGGCGGGGCCTGGGAAATTCCCAGAGCTTGGTGGCGCAAGTCAATCTTAGTCTACTCGGGGCCCGGGAGGCAAGGCAAAAAGAGCAACATGCTGTACAAGTAAAGAGTCTGAAGCAAGTTCAGGTCCCAGCGAGCTTTTATTGAGCCAATTATCTCAAAAATAAGTCAGGATTTTATAATTCAGCATTTTTGACAGGAATTTCACAGCCTTCCTTTATATACTTGTGTACATATGCTGTGCCAAAATCTGAGCTCTGCTGGGCATTTGCCAGTCCCCAGTTCCAAACAAAAAATAATCTTCCCCTCCCACCCACCCCTTGTTGACAAATTCTAGCCCTCACTGTTCGTACTGGACGTGGCCTGAACTGAACCAAGGATCAATGAAATACAACATTGCTTGAACTGAATGAAAAAGTAGGTTCCCAAATTTTCCAGTTTCAAGAAAGGGAAAATTGACTTATTTTCTTCCACACATTGCCACCCCTACATCTTGGTTAAAATACAGCAAGGCTGTATCTCTGTGTTATCCTCGCTTCCCCCTCCCTCTCCCCCCTCCCCCCTGCACAGGACTCCAGAATGTTGCCTTAGGAGTAGAGTTGCAGCAGATCCCCACCCCCACCCCCCCACGGCTGCTCCCATCTTCCCTCCCTCCTCCATTGCCAAGGTGGTGTGATCCCACTCGACTGAGCTTTCCATGTCCTGCCAGGGGACAGAGAAGGACTGTGCCCCAGAGGCAGCCTCCCGGGGGGGGGGGGGGGGGCATGCTTTGGACCAACAGCACAGGTCAGACTACTGCTGGAAACGACTCACGCCCACAAAGGACCCTGGACACAACTGTGCCTCTCTCCATGGGCAAGATTCAGCCGGTCCTGTGCAAGCAAGCCCACCCTTAAAATAAAGAAGAGCAGAATGAGATGCCCAAATCAAACTCATCTGCTTTGGTGTCTCGTTTCTGTGGTCTTGTCCAGCTCTAACAACAGACACAAAAGCAGAGGGGATAGGAAAAGATGCTCCCATCTCATTCTGGAATTAATAAAAAAAAAAGGCAAAACTCAACCCTCCCTCCCACCCACCCACGGTCATCCCTACTAGGTGCAGGGGGTCCTGGGAAGCCCCCACCGATGTTATCACCAAAGCCTTGTTTTGCCCCAGCATTGAGTCCCCGGAGGGGGCTGGGGGGGACGGGGACGGACGATGATGACAAGGCAACAAAAGGGCCCAGGAATTTGTTTTCTCAAAATTTTTCCAGAAGTGCCTGAACCAGTTTTGAGAAACTGTGGGCAACGGCTCTGTGCATAAATCCAATTCTCAGCCTTCATTTTCAGATGAAAGGGGTTTAAAAAAAAAAAAAAAAAAGACAGACCGACCAACCGGGGTGTCCCCGGTCGATGTCTGGAGCATCTTTCCCTTCCGAGTCCCTCTTCACCACTGAGAGACAAGGAGCCATTGTCGGGTGGCTTTCTGACCCAAACAAAGCTACCCAAAAATGGTGGTCCGAGGCTGAGGCCGCTCCTCGGCTAGGCGGCCGCAGGTGAAGTAATACTTTCTCGTTACAAAAGGCTGTGCTTCAAGAGTGACAAGAGGAGCGTGGCCAGGCTGGACAGAGTGGCCACCTCAACTCACGGCACCGAATCCGGTGTTGCACGTGTTCTCGCAAGTTTCAAGGCTCTTTCCTCCTTTGGGAACGCCCCCGGCTGCTGCAGAAGAGCGAAATGTTGCTTTGGGTCGCAAGTGCCCCCCTCCCCCACCCCAAAAAGCACTTGCTCACCGAATGCAGCCTCAGTGGAATTCCCAGCGGAAGAGCTTTCTGTTAATACAACTTTTGCTACGGTTACTTGGACAAAACATGTTCCACTCCCAAAGGGTTGTCAGGAGGCACCCGGCTCAAGGCAGTTCTCTTGAGGTCGGGGCTGGAAAAAGGTGGTACTTTCTATCAGAACTGCTTAGCTTGCCAGGGCAAGGAGGAGGGTTGGGGTGGGCTCCAACCCTCTTGTCTCGGAGCCAAGAGAGCCCTGGTGCCTCCTGGCACTCTGCTGCTGGCAGGCCGACAGGGAATCGTTAAAGACATTTACAGGTTGAGTGGTCTCACTCTTTCTGCCTGCACATCAGGCCAAACATCAAGCACATTGGGAGGGGCACACTTTAAAGCAACACTACTGTAATGGAAGCACACCCACCCCCACCCACACCCTGTTGGGGGAAGAGCAGAGGGCTCGCCTTGCCTGCTCTCGAATCTCTCATCGGACGGGCTTCAAACAGAATCGCCACAAGCTGGCAGGAAGTTCCAATGCCAGAAGCTGCCAGGCTTGACCGGGCCTTTGCCTCTTTGGAGTCGCTTTTGGTTCTGCCTCGCTTTGAGACAAAGGAGGCGGTTGGGTCTCCTCCCCTTTAAGACAAACCCAGCTTCCCCTGGAGGGTTGTTTTTCCCGGGGGAGGGGGGAAAGGGCCTTGCCCGGCACTCTTCCAAATATTGCAACCCCTAAAGCAAGCCAGGCCTGCCTAGAGGCGTGGAGTCAAACGTGCTTGGTACCGAGTAGCGTTGCAGAAAACTGAGCCCCTCTCACCTTTAGCTGCTGTCAAGATCTATCTATAATCCCTTTAACGCCAGCAAGCCTCATCCAAACAAAGAGAAAAGAAACTTATATGAACCCTTAACAGAAAAACACATATTTACAGAGTTTATACAAGTATACACATCCAATTTTCTGCAAAACACGTAAGAGAGGAAAAACCATCATGGCTTGGAGACAGCAAGTGCTGCACCCCCCCACGGGAGACTCACGGAGGGCAGTCTGTAGTGTTCTGCGAGAGCCCCGGGGGCGTTTTGGGGGGCTCCTGCTGCAGATTGGTTGGCAAGTGGCTCTTTCCTCTCAGAGTGTGGAGGTTTCCCTCAATCAACCCAGGCCATCCAGGTTATTTTGCTTAAATACACATATTTACAGAGTGGGTGAACAGCAACTGCATCTCAATTCCTCCATTAAAAGAAAGTTAACCAAACAAAACTACTGACAAGGGCCACCTTCCAGCACCCGGAAGGGGAAGGAAACAGAGGCGGGGAAAGAGACTTCGACCTGAACCAAAACGACTCCTTGCGCTGTATCCAAAAGGGATTTTCTGAATGGTCTCATAGCATAAGGCACTTTGCACAAATAAGTAACAAGCTCTTTAGCTCAAAAGACAGATGAGGAGGAGCCAGGGAGAAGTTGAAATGTACTCAGTCGGGCAGCTGTGGGTGAATTTGAAATTGCAGTCAAGATGGAGTTTGGGAATCTTCTCATTTCAGAGTTCTTCTACTCCATCACAAAGAAAGAAATTAAAACCAGCAGTTAGTGCAACTAATGTTCAGTCAGCACACAGTGCAAACAAGTGGGAAAAACAAAAGGTATTTTCTTCCTATCTTCTGCTTTTGTCTTCACAGCCAATTTTTTTTTTTTAAGGAGGGGAAAGCTCTGTAATTTTAATTGTTCCAAAACAAAAAGATGAAAAACCCTCAGAGAGGAGCCTCCCCCCAAAAATGATGTTTCACAGGTCCAGATCAAAGGGCTTTAGCTTTTGTGTTTAAGTAAAGCCTAGAAAAAGGGGGAAAAAAAGGCCTTTAGCACCAAGGAAACAGCACCAACAAGCTACTTGCCTGACCGCTGTGGCCCAACCCACTCTGTGTCCTGCCCCATCCACGCCTTGGAGACGCAGGCTCGGGAGGGAAGGCCCGGTGCCTCAGAGCCGCATGTCAGGGGAGGTGGGCAGAGCCTGGTCAAAACTCGGGACCTCTTTTCCTCTGGATGGACGCTTTCCTTCCTTCCAGGGCCCGAGGGCCCCACCGGGGCTCCTGGGACAGGCTACGCCAGAGGAATAGAGCCCCCTCCCACCATTCAGGACACCCACCCGCCACGTGTCCCTCAGATACCTACGCAGCAATTACGGTTTATCATCTTCTACGGTCTCGCTGTGGTATTCTGCCACATACAGACTCTTGTCGATGTTACTAGGGATGGGCTTAATTTCTGTCCCCAGCTGCTCTTCAATACTCTTCAGGTTGAAACGATCGTCATAGGTGATCAAGTTGATGGCTAGGCCTAGATGGCCAAATCGACCTTCAAACAGAAAAGACAAAGGCTTTCAGTCTGGCAGCTGGCTTCACGAGGACGCCAGGTGGCTGACTGGGGGCGACCAGTTCTTCCCTCCCTGCCCTATGTGGCGGAACAGTGTTTTCCAGTTTCAGACCATCATTTGCTGGTAGCAAAGTGCATACTGCTTTCTTGGTTTAATCCAACATGGCTTTAAATATCTGTGGAGTACCTTACAATGTACACGTGGCAATTGTGCTTCTTGATAAGCCAGTAACTGCCGTAGAGAGCAGTTCAGAGAGCTACCACCCTGCACAGGGCAGCACAGAAGCTCAGCAGGCTGAAGAACAAGTGACTTATGGGCCTGATGTCCTGGGGGGGGGGGGGCACCAGCCCCTTGCTAGAGGAATGGATGGACCGACTGGCTGCTCTCCAGAGCCCCTCCCTGAGGGTTCTAGCTGCTCACACTTGACACACAGTTGATGTTCCACCAGCATTCGCAAAGTTATGGCAAACATCCTAAATCAAGAGGTTCAGAGTTTGCAATCCATGCTAGCTACCAGCTGCCAAGAATCATCATCAGATACAGCCATTGACATCAAAGGCAACACAGGCAGTTCTCAATTTACAACCATTCATCTACTGACTGTTCAAAGTTACAACAGCATTGAAAAAAGTGACCATTTTTCACACTTATGACCGTTGCAGGATCCCTATAGGCACACAATCAAAATTTGGACGCCTGGCAACTGACTTCTATTTGTGGCCTTTGCTGGGTTCCTGAGTCACAGGATCGATCCCCTTTTGCGACCTCTCTGACAAGCGTAAGTCAACGGGGAAGCCCGATTCACTTAATAACCGTTATTAACACGACAACTGCAGCGATTCCCTTAACAGCTATTTCAAGAAAGGTCGTAAAATAGGGCAAAGCTCATTTAAGAAATTATTCACTTGGCTACAGATATTTTGGGCTGAATTGTGGTTTTAAGTCAACAACTACCTGTGCTATATGACTGTGATTTTTCACTGAACGATGTCCTCACCTGATCTGCCAATACGATGGAGATATGTCTCTGCCAGCTTTGGAAAATCAAAATTGATCACAACATTCACAGCTTGAATATCAATACCTCGAGTAAAGAGATCTGAAAAACAAACCTTGCACCTTAGAAAAATCCAGTAATACAAAAAAGACGGGCTCAGAATCTCTGGCTATGTAAGTAACACAAGACTCATCCAACTTTTGGATTGTTCTGTAGCCTCAAGCACAAAGAAATGTTAGCGTGAAAAATGCTCAAGACTGGATCCTGCAGGTTTCTTGCTTTTTTTTTAATGGCAAAAGTCTCCCTTATTTCCCACCGTCTCTACTTTTTGAGCTAGACTGCCTCAATTTGGAAAACAAAAGAAATGTAAAACGATGCTGGCTTAAAATATGTATTAAAGCAAGCCAACATAAAATATCACCTTAAAACGGTTGCAATTATTAAAAAATCTCCAAAATGACAAGAGATCTTTTACATTCACGGTCTCAATGTTGAAAATCTGTTTGCTTTTCTGACTATAAGGAGGATCCCATCCCGGAGACAATTTCAGGATCAGAGTCAAGATTTGGAAACACTGATTTCTAGCCTAACATGAGGGATGTGCAAACTGTCAGGCAGATTCTGGCTGGAGCAGAAGATCTGAGTGTGGAACTATGGAGGATTTTACTGGCCAAACCAGCGTTTTGGACTGAGCTGGTCCTCCCTTAGGCACAAAAGCCAGCTGAGTGATTTGGGCTCATCTGGCAGGTGACCAAGCCGGCCCCGAGGGAGGAGAAGTCAAATGCATCAATCAGTCTGGCGTCCCTCATGCCCACAAGAGACCTAAACCCAGCCCACCTCAAATTCCATTGACTTATCTATCACCAATTTACTTGGACCGTTAGTAGTTCAGATTCTTGTAGAGAGCATGCAATAAACCTTCATATTCTTTTGAACTGACTGGACTCCCTGATTTTCCTGTGCTTGACAAATTCCTTTCTCTCAGCCCAAACCACCTCGGTTGTAGGGGGGAAATGGAGCAGGAAGGAATATTATGCATGTTTGCTGCCTTGAGCTTTTAAAGAAAAAATAATAAAAGCGGGATACAAGTAAATAAATTTCTACTCTTCTGGTAACCAATGCAGAGCCTCCAGTGCTGGTGTTATACACTAGCTCTCACGGACAAAAGTTGACCTGTACCAATTGCAGCTTCCAGATAATCTTTAAAAGCAACCCATGTAAAAGCACATTGCATTCATCTATTTAAGAAATAACAATACCGGGGAATTCTCTTAATTTTACAATATCCAGTTGCTGAAAGTACCGTAACAAATTCCCAAAATGCAGCGCTGAAACTTCCTAGAAAGAGCCTTTCTGGGCAACACGCAAGCCATGGAAAAGGACAGGATACTCACCAGTGCAAACAAGGTTGCGGCATAAGCCATTCCGGAAATCATGGAACACTCGATTGCGGTGCTCCTAGAAAAGGAATTGGGAAAGTTTCACCAACTTACTCTTGACCAAAGCCCAAATGTTTGTCCTTCAGCACCTAAAGGAAAATCCAGGTGCTTTTACTGATACACCTCTAATGGAAGAGAACATTCTACTCAGTGGAGGATTAAAGCTCACTGGTGCCCTAAGCACGGACAAATCTTGCCGCCCCTTTTGTATATGCAAGATTTTTTACAAGTCTTCATTGTTTTTTTTCTTTCTTTCTCAACTTTGTGGTGCCCCCTTTGGGCCTGGTGCCCTGAGCACGTGCTTAGTCTGCTTACTACACCACTGATTCTACTTGATAAGGAATGCCTGGTCTGTGGCAGGACATGCAATTCACAAGACCGCGGGCTCTTCCGACACTCCCCCTGGGAGCTCTGTTCAGGCTGAGTATATGAAGCCTCTGGAAATAGATCCACTACTCCTCTCCCTCCCACAACTAGCACCTAAAATCCAACAAATATTCATTAATGGCTCCAAACAGCACACTGACCTGTCTCATCTTTGCGTGAATGTAGAAGCAGGAGTACCCGAGCTGGGAGATTTTCTTAGCTAATAATTCAACCCGTTGGGAGGAGTTACAGAAGATGATGGACTGATTTATTTGGAGCTAAATGCAAAGACAGTAAAGTGTTATATTGTATTCTGCTTCTAAATGGCAAACGAACTTGAAAATACGCAGATAATACTAGACTATACAGCTTGGAAACAGGTACACAAAAAGGCGGCAGTACCTAAAGAACTGAAGAAGCAAAAATAAAAGCTACATTAGTCATTAAATAAGACTCTATTCGAGCAATATTCTACAAGATTCCTTTCACTTGATCACTTTGGTCATTGTTTAAACCCAATTTAGTTTAAATCTTAGTTCTCACCCTGGAAAACAGTGTGTTGAGGCAGTGCACTTTCTGGCGCTCGGTTACGTAAGCGTAGTACTGGGTCACCCCCTTCAGAGTCAGCTCCTCCATCAAGTTAATCTCGTAGGGTTTCTGCAAGTGGGAATTCTGGAAGAGAAGCATTCTGGCATGTACAGGAGTCCTTGTCTTATGGAACACAATGGAGCCCAAAACTTGTTGTTAAGTGAGACATGCATTAAGTGAGCACTGCCTCATTTTACGACCTTTCTTGCCACAGCTGTTAAGTGAATCACTACAGTTGTTAGGCTAGTAACATGGTTGTAAAGTTAATCTGGGTTTCCCACTGACTTTGCTCTTCAAAAGTTCACAACAGGGGACCCTGCAACCATCATAAATACGAATCAGCTGCCAAACGTGTGGATTTTTATCATGTGACCAAAGGGAGGCGGCCATGACCGGAAGTGTGAAAAATGTCCATTAGTCACTTTTTTCCAATGTTGTTGTAACTTTGAATGGTCACTAAACAAACCATTTTAAGGACTATCTCTGGTTTGCAGCGTGGCAAGTATAACCATGCTTCACCCTTTGCTCAGTTATGCAAATTTGGGCTCATTCAACTCACCATAAACTTCTGCACGCTTAGAGGGAAAGTGGCCGAGTACAACAAAATCTGCCGGTTCTTAGGTAGAGTGAGTATAATGTCCTCCATTATTTGCACAAAGTCTTGGGACAGTAACTTGTCTGCCTGCAAAATAAATTAATACATGATAAAAAGGGGGGCAGCTGGGGAGCTTGTTCCATGTTTAAACAGCCCTCCCAGAGGGGCTGGCCAGAGTCCCAGCTCATCTTAAAGCAATGCTTCTTCTTCTTCTTAGCCAGCCAGCCAGCCAGCCAGCCAGCCAGCGGTGGCCCCCTTTCCCAGCTGCATAGGGGGCGGAATGAGCCCCAAATCCACAAAAGGCTCCCAGGAGAGCCGATCGGGTGGCTTAGATTGCAGCTCAGGAAGTCAGTTAAACGTTACCTCGTCTAGGACAATCATCTGGATGTGGTCCACTTTTGCTACCCCCTTTTTGATGAGATCCAGAATCCTTCCCGGTGTTGCTATTACAACATGAACTGCAAGCAGGAAAGAAGAGCAGCTTATTAGGCAGCCGGATTAAAAACCTGGCAGAAAAGAGGGGGGGGGGGTTTACCCCATTTTTGTCATCCTACCGGTATCATCAAGCCTCATTATATCATCCCGCAGATTGGTTCCTCCTGTGGTTGCCATCACTTTCGCCCCTCCCATGTGTTTGCTGACCTGGATGCAGATCTGACTGACTTGCAAGGCAAGTTCTCTTGTGGGCACAATCACCATTGCTGTCAAGCAAGAGATAATTTGAGGCACTCTTATTCCATGATCCCAAGGGATTTTTATGCTAATGTATGTCCAGGGAGGGCTAAACGTTAAGGTATTCAGAAATCCAAGTGTCCTTTCTAGCTTGCTTACAAAGACTTTTAATGGAGACCAAACAGGCAAGCGGCCTGGATCTGACGGAGCGCCTGGAGGGGGGGTGTCCAAACTCCTGGCCCTCGGGACGGACGTGTCAGGCGCTGCCAACATCCACCCTTTGTTTTAGTGAAAGGGAAAAATGTTGCGATACATCACGTGATGACAAAGTGATGCCACAAGCTCGAAACGCCTGGTCTTAAGCTAATGGAAGACGAACCATTTTATCAGCTTTTCAAACTTCATCGTAATGCAGAAACAGCACCTTCCAAGTCACATTTCTCCCCAACTCACTATACAATGCAGTGTGTGGAGTGTGAGAAACTGAGAAAACTGCAGTGAAGCTTTCCCAACCAGAGTTTTGGAAGATAAATGCTGATACCCCCAGCCTGTCTGTTTAGTAGTGACTCCCTTTTCATGCTTTGAACTTCAGGAGTATTAAAAATGAATTAGTGGGACCCAGGAATACAGAATATTTACTTAAAAAATCCAAGGCCTTCTAGCATGATCTATCCCTGCCTGCTGCACCTCTGCCCTACTGTACTTTTAATGACTTTGCAGAAAGACCTAAAATTATTGATAATCCTTATTTAATTCTTGCATCTATGCTTAAAATTATTCATTGCTAAGGAGCTTGAGCGTGACAACTCCCATTTTCATACCTCCCCACCCCCGAGAACAAAGTGATCATAGGTAAGGAAAACCAAAGCATTCTTTTCCAACCTCAAAATCAGAAGGCCGGATTTGTGTAAGAACTCTCTCTTCTGAAATTTTGCAGAGTATTTTCCTCAATATTAATATGGCAGAAAATATTAATGATTCCACAATTACCAACAAAAAGATAGGTTATCAACTGCTTTCAACCAGAAAACTCTGATCCTATTAACAAAAAAAAATAGCAATTCGCTTTTCTAAATAATCAGAATGTAAAGGCATCTAGAACACAGGTGTCAAACTCGATCGTGTCACATGACGTATTGTGGCGGTTTTTGCCTGGGCGTGGCCTGTGTGTGATGCATCTGGCCTGTGGCAGACCTAATCTAGAACAACAACAACAAAAAGCCCACAAAAACAAACCCTGCAACAATCTGTCTGATTTTCTCAGACTAAAACAAAAGCATTAGGCAAAAAGGAGGATGTGCAAGATTAATTCCTGGAATCATTGCAAAATAAGATTTTGTTCTTGGGCTTGGAGCCCTTTAAAGTTACATCTCACTGGATGCTCTTGTTCAAAGGTCGCACAAACAGGGGGACCCCACCGCCCCATCCCATGTCCTGCTTTCTCAGATATATGGCTAACTGAATGCTGGTTTGGGATAGACCGAATCAGGGAGCAAACAACGTGGCAAAGTAAGGGGTGCTCTTGATGGACTGCCGGGGGGGGGGGGGGGGGGGATGCTGAATGGGGAGCACAGCAGTCTTTCTCTTCTACCTACATAAAGCAAAGACTTCCACTGTTAGCAGCAGCAGCAGCAGCTTCCCTGTGAAGTCCTTCAAGTCCTTCCAGTTAATCAGCAACGGTGATCCCAGGGGCCTTACCCATTCCAGTCAAGCCCTTTCCCAAATCCTTCTCTACCTTTTTCTTTCTTTCACAAAAGTGAAGCAGTTGCATAGCTAGCAATCTAACAGGGTCCCTGGTGACCATGTAAGACCTGTTGCAACTGGAGTCAGTGTGGCTTGTCATCTTCCACTGACCTTGTATGTTGTCCTTCTTTAAGTCAAGCCTTTCAAGTAATGGAATGAGGTAGGCACCGCTCTTGCCAGTTCCGTTCTTAGCTCTGGCTAAGATGTCCCTTCCAGACAAAGCAATAGGAATGCTCTCCTCCTGAGAAGAAGCATGGGAAAAGGGAAGAGAAGGTAAGATTTTGAATGAGATAGAAGCAAAAAATACAAAACAGCTGTCAGAAGATATAAACATAGAGAGTAAAAACAAAAAGGGCCACACTTTAGATCATGGGTATCAAACTCGATCGTATCACATGACGTATTGTGACATATCACAACATTTTTTGCCTTTGCAGAGCTGGGTTAGGCATGGCTTGTGTGTGAGGCATGCGGCCCTGTTTGACACCACTGCTTTAGATGAAAAGGTTAACTACTTGCAACTATGTTCTCGTTCCCAGCTGAAAGAGAGGGTGACCCAAGTGCCAATACATAGTCAAATCATCACCCGGCACAACTTAATGGCACATGGCAGTCATCTGGCAAGGAACTGATCATGACGGACTCCCAAGTCAAAAGGACTCTGGGGCCTTAACTAGGTAGGCATCCAGCTGTTGAAAAGTAGGAACATGGACTTGTGATGTCTTCTAGATGGTCTGTAGCCTGCACGACAAACTTCTATGTTTTTTCCGTCTGCCTCTCTAGACAGAAAAGGTTGGGTTTGGAGACAGGAATATTTCTGCTTGGGTAACAATAACATTCAAAAATCAGTGTCATAAAGGAGCCGTCTGGAAACACGAATTGTTTTGTTCCAATTCCATCTACCACAAGAAACAGAAAAAGCTAGATCCAATGAAGTAGTAAGAAATCTCGGCCCTTCATTCCAGGGACCCTGCGCTCTCCATCTCACACGAAAAGGCCATTTCCATATGCACAAGAGCGAGTCCTTCAACTGGGGCGGCTTTGGCCGAGAGGAAAACATGAAAGGATGGAATCTTATGCATGGAGAAAAGGGCTCTTTTCCTGGAAAGGAAGGATTTGGATGGCAAGAGGCTGTAGAGAGAGAAAAGGTGAAGGAAGATACTCGAGCGCTCCTTTCTCCGCTTGGTTCATCAGCCTTCCAGGCGTGCAGGATTGTTCACACAAAACAATACAGGCAGAGCTTCAGCAGAAGCTGATCGCATACGACGTGTGTGCATAGAAATCCAAAGCCTTATATTCCCCCCATTATTTATAAAAGGTAAAATAAAATTTCCATTCATTAATAAGCATCTTATCATCATTTACTAAACTTACTCAACCTGCACTATAGGTGACTAACCTGAATAGGAGATGGCTTTTCCCAGCCCATTTCAAAAATTCCCATCAGCAACTCCCGCTTCAGACAATAATCTTCAAACTCATTTCCTTTTGTCGACGTCACATCCTGGAGAAGCAAAGCAGCATCGTTAAGGCCTGTGAGGTCAGTCTCAATGCCAAGGGCATTCTGAAGCTAAGCCCAGCAGCAGGGAGGGTACTCTGATATGGGTCAACGCTCTCCCAGGGACCGAAGAAATTCTAGAAAGCCGTGGGAAGCAGAGAAATTGGGCTGGCCAAGGCTGTGGTGTTAAAATCTAGAAGATGCGTGTACTTGATAAAAATGTATAGGGGGGGGGAATGGTGGTAGGGGAAGGGGTAGCGTTAAACTCAAGGTAAGCTGCAGTCTATACCAGTTCTGATTTTATTCAGAACTGGGATGCGTAGGGGAGGAGGGGAAGATGTATGCTTTTCTATTAGTTTCACCAGTTAGTTTAAGATGGTTATTTGTAATTAGCTGCATCACCTACAGCAGGCAGCCATTGCTTGCAACAGACATTTTTAGTTGGTGTAATTTCAGATTTTGCAAGTAGATAGCAATCAGCAAAGTAGGCAACCTATCTCAATGTGAATTCTGTAAGACAAATGTGATTTAATCGGTTTGAAACCTTACACTTCAATGAAAGGAACACCTGCTGCCAAGCATCAACATCACTTCCTTTCCCATGTTTAAAATTTTAGAAAGCCCTTACCGACGTTTTGATTCTCAGGTCTTTCGGAGGGAGCTTTAAAGTCTTCTTCCAGTCATCGCCAGGTCTGAAGTGAGAAAACTATTAGCTACTGGACCTGATTTTGGTCTAGACACACATCACATATGATACAATCACTCTCAGAGTTGAAAAATGCAAAAACAGCCCTTTTAATCCACCTAGAATCTGATAAACTTCATGACATAGGAAGCAAAGGACATTTTAAGTCAGTATAATCAAGTGTTAACATAGCATTAAGCAAGTACTGGAGAACGTGGAGAGAATCTGAACATGTCATATACTACTGAGTAACTTTTAAGTTCAGTCACAGTTATCTTTTTCTCCATATCTCAAAACAGCAGCCTTCGTTTTATAAGATATGCAGGACCGATAACATATGGCTGGACTAAAATCAACAGCTTCCACTGTACAAAGTATATTTGTACCAGTGCTCTTCAGGACCTTAGCCACTAAACCACGGTGTGTTAAAAGCCCAGAAGAAACTTTCTTCAACTCTTTACTGCACAATCATTTTCAACTGTGAACAATGCAACAGACCACAATTGAAGTTGCTTTCCCGATGCTGAGCAAGCTATGGGAACTCCTGAAGACTTGTGCTCTTGAATACAAACAGTGTTGACATGGCCAGGATGCAGAGGAGACGACCCTGGTGAGGCTTCCAGACCTCTCTAGAGCTGATTACCTAGAGCTGCAGCAGAAGGCACTGTTCTACACTGCCTGCCACTACTTGCAGAGCAGTCACCCTAAGCTGGAAGACGGTTATTTTCCCTGGGAAGTCCCAGGCTCCCTATTTTGTTATGTACCATCTCACCGTATTCTTCCATCAAGCCAAACAGGTTGCATGTTTGGTTTAAATAAGCAGAGATCACAGGATCAAGGCAAACTGCTGCAAAGAAATGTCCTGCTAAAAAGAATCAATTCAGTTTCCTCCAGAAAAGATATGCCAGTTGCTCACACCAATATAACCTGAACATTACTTGTTTTAGGCTGGGTAACCCTTTGGAAGTCTTCTGAAGCAATTACATGATTCACCACTTCCATTTCCATCACTACAACAATGGTGCTCGATAAACTTGCTGTTCGTAAGGGAACCTCCCAAATATATAGGATTGTCTATTATATGTTGATTCTCTGCTTTAATCAATCCCTAATGCAGGAAGCTATCTGACCCCTGCTTTTAGCCAAGGATACTCAATCTCAGTTCTGATAAAAATAAAGCAGTTCTAAGGGCTTAGTGAGTTGAATCCAAGGTGCTGGTTCCTTCCTTTAGTGCTTTCTAAAGCAACCGTCCCAAATCACTGGAGCCCTTTTCTCAGTATGCTGCCCAAAGTTCTTTCAATAGTAAGATTGGTGGCATATAAATTTAATAAGTAAATGTGCTTCTCCATTCACCTGGGAAAAATCTGTACTGGGCATCCAGTTGAGAGAGGTGTCTAGGACCTGTATTGGGGGTGTGTGTGTGTGTGTGTGTGTGTGTGTGCGCGCACACGCGTGCCTGCAGTTGTGGCGGTTCCCACTCACAGGAACCCAGCAGAAGTAGGAATCCCCCAGGTTGCTCAGCAGGCAGCCTTTCTAACAACTGCATGTCTTTACCCTTTGCTTCATCCCATACTAAATTAAACTATAGGAAGCAAAGAACGGATAAGTAAAATATGACACGTGTGAGACAAATGCAATTCAGGAATAACATCAAATATTGCTGTAGTTGGTAAAACGGGTAAAAGAAGGAAAGTGCTCACACTCCACCCAGAAGTCAAAACTCTGAGGACCTTCTGGCTGCCTGACAAGATGGCTGCCAATGCTCTAGACAAGTACTCACTTGATGGTGGAGGCCATGCTCTGTGCTTGCTGCTGAGTGCCATTGTTGATTGTGTTGGGATGTTTCAGCTGGTTTATCTGTTGCTGAGCCTGTGTCCCCCCGCTTCCTGGACCACCACCAGGTTTTACTGGGCCCCTCAGCTGTCCATTTTGACTGGAGAGACCCATTATAACAGGGTTCTCTGTTCTGGCCGTACTCATGTTTGCCTTTTAAATGTCTTTCAACTTCCAAACAGTTGTGAGTACGGAAAGTGTAATAGTTTATTAAACTCTCCAAGATGAAGAGATAAATTAGGTCCTGCTCAATAGATGAGTCTCTTATTGCAACACAGGCAAACACCTGTAAAGTCACCCAAGAGAAACCAGTCACTTGCGCTGATGCCCTGTGGGACCACTCTTTAAAAAGTCTTCCAACACACTTGAGTTCCGTCCAATCTACTCACTTCAATCTGAAAAGAAGGCAGACAAAGCCGTTAGTACCTGCAGCTGCTGGCTGCATCCACTTCCAAGGAAGCTTGGGGGACGCAAGTAACCTGGGCGGCAGATGGTCCGGCCGGGGCCAGGGAACCTACCGTGTACGAGGCGCCCCTCGGCGAAGCGCAGCTTTTCTCCTGCGCCATTCAAGGGACGGAGGCTGGCGAAGCTTCCCCGCTAAGAAACGCCTCAAAACTGCCCCGCTCCCCCGCCGGCCCGCCAACCCGGGGGCGAGGCTCCGAGGCCCGGATTCAGCCAGCCTCCCCGCCTCTGTTCACGGCCTCTGTATGAAACGGCCCCCCTTCCCCGCCTTTGTCTCAGGCCCGGCCGGAGGCGGTGGCAACCCAGGCCGAGCGTCGGGAGGCGGGCCAGGCCGCGCGGAGGCCGCGCCGGAGGCCTCGCGCCGGAGTCGAGCGACTCCAAGGCGGGCGCTCCCGGCCCCGCGGAGCCTCAGCCGGATGGGCAGAGAGGCCCTCGGTCGCCGGCCCTCGCCGCGCCGGAAAAGCCCACCCGCCCAACCGCCGCGGAGGCCGGCTCCGCAGCGCCGCTCTCCACCGCCGGCGGCCCGGGCAGCCATACGAGCGCCTCTCAACCACAGCCCGCCCGCCTACCTGCCTGCCTGGCGGCCGCGCTCACTTCCCGCTGCGGCTCGGCCCGTCTCGCAGCCCGTCGGCCGTGACTCCGCTCGGACTATGGCGGCGGCGGCGGCGACGCGACAACAAGATGGCGGCCCTTCCCTTCCTCCTTCCTTCCGTCCTGGCGCGCGCGCCCTCTTTCTCCTCCCCTTCGAGCCACACCCACCGCCCGGCCGCGCAGGCGCCCAGCGACGCTTAAGAGCCGTGCCCCCCTCCCCGCGGGGGGCGTGCTGGGAGGCCTCTCCGGGGCGCCCCTCCCGACTCCGCCCGGCGGGGCTCTGCTGCGGTCCCGGCGCCCTTCCCGGGGGAGGCGCCCCTTCGCGCTTCCCGGTGTCGTCCCCGGGGCTGCCTGCCCAGTGCCGGCCGAGCCAGGGAGGCTCTCTCTGGGCCAGCTGGCCCCGCCAAGCGCCCCCACCCCTGCCCCGGGGGGCTTTGAGTGAGGACGCGGCGGGCCTGCCGGTGCCCTGGGAGAACGGGCTGGCCGGCCTCGAAGCTCTGGAAGCGGAGCCCTTCAGGGAGCCTGAAAAGGGTCGCTTTGGCCGCGTGGCTCTTTTTCATACCAGCCCAGCGGCGCATCAAGCTCAACTTTGTTCCCAGTGAGGAACAAAAGTCCCATTCAGGAATTACCCATTTCTAGTAGGAACGTCGTTCCCATTTTGTGAGTTCATAGGTGCAACATTAACAAAGCCCCGTCCTGGAAGTGATCTTTGCCCAGCCTGATCAAAGCAAGAGGGGCAGGGTAAATAACGGCGCAAACAAGGCCTGAATATCCCCGTCTTCTGGTGTGCACATCACAAACCTGAGTGAGTTGGGTTGAGTCGCCTGCGACCGGAACAAAAGATGGAAACTTCTTAAAAAGTGGTTTTATGTAATCAGGATCTTAAAACTTAATTTGGCTTGCAAATCAGGAGCTTCCGTCTCTTGTTTGGCCATTCCTCCCCTGATCATTTCTCTGCTGAACCCGAAACAGGTGGGCACCCCTGTGTGTTGCTTCCTAAGTCATGGCCGAGTTTAGGATCACCCTGGAGAATGTCAACTGGGTGAGTGTGGCTGGCAGCTCTGACAAAGACCTGGGTTTCTCCATGAACAGGGCAGAGGCGGCCCAGTGGACAGGAGCCTCAGACCACAGAAGCGCTTGGCACTTCTGCTGGCCTGAAGGATGGGGGGGGGGTCCCTCTGGAGGGGGCAGGAGTGCTAGCCCTCCCCACCCGAATTCTACTGGGAAGGAGATTGTGTCTCCACTGCAAAGTGTGCAGGTGGGACTTGGGCCTTTATCATTTGGGCAGACCACCTGGCCCAGCTTTCACGGCCTCCAATCTGCCCCTGGGGAGAGAGGGTTGATGGCTTCCTAGAAGCCCCTTGCCGCTGCCAAATGCTCAGCACCTGCATGGGTGTCCCTGTGCATCTGGGGAAGGTTGCGTGCAAGTGCTAAGGCAGCCAGATGCCAGCCACAGGCTGAGCGGGGCCAGGAAAGAGCTGCAGATTCTCCTCCACAGCTCCTCGGCCTTCCTGTTTTTGAGCCCCCCCCCCCCCCCTGTCTTCTGAGCTGGAATCGGCCTCTGGGGGCCTCTTACAAAAAACCCCAAGGGAGCATGTTCAGAAGGAAGTGACTGCTTACCCCTCCTTTTCTTTCTTTTTTTCTTGTTTTACTGATTTTCAAAAACTCCCACGCAGAGAGAAGGGGCAGGAGCTGGACCCCTCCATGAATGCGATGGGAGGGGCATGGCTGGAGAGGACCCCTTAAAGTGGAGAGAAGTCAAGGGAACACATAGATCGGACCCCTCTGCAACAGAACGATGGGCTTTGGGACTGGCGGAAGCAGCCATCTGCAGGGCCTGTGAGGTTTCCGCTGGGGCCGCTCCCCAGAACCCACCAGTCCCCCAGGAGAGAAAAGAGAAGAGCCGACTTCCCCTTTTTCCTCTTCCTCTGTCCCCTCACCCAGGGCTGATGGGGGCCCCCACCCTGCAGCAACTAAACTGGCCTGGCACACCCCAAAGCAGCAGCTCCGCAGGGTTGGGAACCTTGATGAGTGTTCGGGGAAGAGCCGGCTGGCCTGTTTTTCAAGGCCAGTTCACCTTCTGGCCAAGCAATTCTCATGGTCACCCCGTCAAAAGAGATTGCTTCTCTTTGCAAAATTTGGATAAAGTTGTTAATTGAAACTACTTTGAAAATTGATCTGAGTTTGGATTAATCTGGGATTTTATAGAGGATCTCAACCAGTTTGGGATTAATGTGGATTAATGTATCTGCATTGCTCTGTGTCCCCCCCGCCCGCCCCCCCCAAAAAAAGAACCATGGAAGGAGGAAAAGGGTGAACTGACCACGCTCTTCCCCCGCTTGCTTTCTCCCCTACTGGCGTTCCCAGTTCATGTTCCTCTCTCCCACTGCTTCCACCTGGGCTCTGTGCAGGGCTGACTTTGGAGAAGAACTGTAGGGAGGGTTCAGTTCCACGATTGCAATTGCCTTCCGGGCCTGCAACTCCATTTTTAAATTCAAACTTAATTAAACAATTGAAACTGCACAACTTTAAGGAAAGACTGCAATGAACACACTCCCCTCCTTCAATTTCAACCTCTGCTTCCTCTTCACCTTTTGAAACAGAGCTTTGAACACTATTAAAAGCCCTTTCAAAGACCTGGCAAGGGCTATGTTCGAAAAATGAAATTGGGCTTGTGAAATTGACCAGAGGTTAAACAAAATTGAGCTGATTTCTGAAAATGACCCCCCCCCCCCAAAAAGAGGGGAGAAAATCCAAAATATTAAAGTACAAGGTGATCAGTTGAGGGAATTTTTCCCCCTTCAGGGAAAAAAAAACACCCTTGAATCCACTACTTCTCTGCAAAATAGGAAGAATCTTGGATGGTTTACCTGCCAGCCAGCGGTGGGTCCTTCCCCTGAGGAAAGCCGCCGCCTGCTTCCTCCTGCAGCCAGCGGGGTTGATGCCCGTTGCCCTCTTGTGGGTTGTTTAGCACAGGCTCCCTGACCGTCCCCTCTTGCTCCATTGCTAACTTGGCATGAAGACCATGGCAGCAGCTGAGGCTGGACTGAGGCCGCTGGCTCAGAAGCTGCTTTTATGTCTCCGGAGGGGGAAGAGGGAAAGGGGCCTCTAGAAGCAATCCAGGGCCGCCCAGAGGTCAATCCGCTGGTGTTCCTTGATCCTCCCTGTTTGTCCAGTGTCCTGATTGTCCCCACCGTTGGAGGGGGCAGGGATGGGGGGGGGGAAATCTGGGCATGTGTGTGTGTGTGTGTGTGTGAATAGCCTTTCTCTGCAAGGGACAGCACACAGAAGCCCCTGCCCATCAACCTGCTTTGCCTCTTGTTCTCTTCCCAGACCTTCGACTACAACTTCACTGACAGTGAAGGGAACAACTCCTACGATGACAATTACTTGTGTCCTCAGGCGGAAGACGGCCCCAGGCAGCCCTCCCAGGGTGTCCTGGTGCCTTTCATCCACCTGCTCATCTTCCTGCTTGGTGCCCTGGGCAACCTTCTGGTGGTGGTCATCCTGTGGCGCTACAGGCATTCCCGCACCTCCACGGAGCTCTTCCTCCTCCACTTTGCCCTGGCCAACCTGCTGCTGCTGCTCACCTTCCCCTTCGGCGTGGTGCAGAGCTTGGCCGGCTGGGTCTTTGGCCTCTTCCTCTGCAAGCTGCTGAGTGTCGCCAACCGGATGAGCTTCTACAGCAGCAGTCTGCTGCTCGGCTGCATCAGCGTGGACCGCTACCTGGCTGTGGTCTGCGCTCTGCAGACCTTCCAGAAGCGGCGTGGCCTCTCCATCCACCTGACCTGCCTGGGCACCTGGCTGGCCTCCTTCCTGCTGGCCATACCCGACTTGCTGTTCACAGAGGTCTGGGTCCAAGGCCACAACCTGAGCCTCTGCCACTTCAGGGAGTATGGCACGCATGGCATCAACTCCTGGCTGGCTGAGCGCTTCCTCTACCACCTGGTGGGCTTCTTCCTGCCCTTGGGAGTCATGTGCTATTGCTACGCGGCCATCGTGCGGCTCCTCTGCCAGTCCCAGCGGCTGCAGCGGCAAAAGGCCGTGAAGGTGGCCATTGCGGTCACGAGTGTCTTCCTGCTCTGCTGGACCCCTTACAACGTGGTCATTTTCTGGGACACCCTTACGAAGCTGGAGGTTACAAGGAAGTCCTGCGCGGTTGACCAGGCACTAAGCAGGGCCATTGTGGTAAGCGAGGTGCTTGCCTACAGCCACTGCTGCCTGAATCCCATCCTCTGCACCTTTGTGGGCATCCGGTTCCGCCACGACGTTTGTCGACTCCTGCACGATGTGGGCTGCCTGAGTCAGGGGACCCTGCAGGAGGTTCTGGGCACCTGCAGAATGGAGAGCAGCATGGAGACCAACATCTCCAGTGTTCGGTGTGGGGCCTCCTCCTACTCTGGAAGTGCCACACCTTCCGCTCTGCCAGATCGGTTCACTTCTCACAAGGATCCAAATGGCCAAGAGGGTCAGGAGGAAGTCCCGGACCTGACTTGGGCCCAAAACAGAGGCTAAGCCCCACGTACGTTCTCTGATCCCTTCCCTGCTGTTTCCCAGGAAGCTACGAATGGCTCGGCTGCTGCCCCCAGCCTGCAATTGCCCGGGTTCAGAGTGCGGTGCTCACACACAGATCAGGTTTACTTGAGAGCAGGGCTGTGTCCTCATTGCCTCCCTACAGAGCAAGGGTCTTCAAACGTGGCAGCTTGAAGACTTGAGGACTTCAACTCCCAGAATTCCTGAGCTAACATGACTGGAGGAGGAATTCTGGGAGTTGAAGTCCACAAGTCTTCAAGCTGCCACGTTTGAAGAGCCCCACTACAGAGCATGTTGCATATTTGGATTCCAGGCTCCCCCAACCCCCCAAACGCAACTGGAAACGGAGAGGGGAGATCCAGCTCCAGGGCCTGGTTTGGGCTTTCCAATCTTCAGCTAAGGCCTCCTTAAGTAGCCAGAAGGAGAGTCCAGAGGAATAGGGCAGCCTCTTTGGCCTCTCGGTGTCCAAGGGCAGGACTCGCCCCAGGAGACCCTTGCCATGGTCAGTGCTGGCGTCCCAATCAGCCCAGGCGCCTTGGAATTGAGTGGGGAACCCCCCACAGCCCAGGCCCTTCTGCT